GTGAAAGTGTGGAGTTTGCTTCTGGTCTTTAAGTTGTGTATGTGGGGGAAAAAAAAAAAAAGGCTGTTTATACAGTTCGAGATTTTGGTATTTCTTCTTAAACAGCTACACCTTCTCCTCCTAAAGCAGTAGGTGCTGCCTTTTGCCTTCTGTCACTGTATTGGCTGTCAGCCTTCTTGTCATTGATTGGCTTCTTTAATTATTCATAAGAAAATATATTTTCCTCTGTCAGCTGCAAGCTCATATGTCTTAGATTTGTCTGTTATTAAAGGAAACCATGAATGCGCTTTCAAGCTACAACACATGTCTTATAGTTTTTGGGAAAAAAGAACATTTGCTTGCCATAGAAATGAAGTCATTCTAGCTGAGGGCAGTCTATTCACCATTGGGATTCAGATCAATTCACAGATAGCAGGGTTGTTGCATCACTGCTGCAAGTTCATGGCTGACATCACACAGCTGCAAAGGGGCTGTTCTGGAGCCATGTTACATCATGGCTGGGAGCCCACAGCTGAGAGTGTCACAATCTCTCCTACATCAGTGCTGCCAGCAGGTGTTGTGGTGGTTGCAGACATTTGGTTTTGAATAGACAGCCAAAATCTGGGCTTTGCTGGTTGAAATTTAAAAAAATAAAAATTCAGAGTGTGTGGGGAACACGTGCTGGTCTCTGATGACAAAAGGCAGATTTTTATTAACAAAATTTTGTATCAAAGCCCAGGTCTAGAGTGTCTGCCTTTGTTGTAGTTAATTGGAATGAGAGCAGAAGCCATATTCCCATCAGAACAGGATTATGGACTGATCCCATCAGCATCTGGTGATGAATTGGAATTCACCACCACCCAGCTGGTCTGAGTGCCAGCAACAGTTGAGCTGCTGCTCCCTCTCTCTGTAGTGTGGACAGTGGGTGCCCCATAGGTTGAACAGTGTATCTTTGTGCATCACTGATTGTTCTTTGGAGACAAAATTTGTGTTACAGCTGAAGTTAAAAATGTGTGAACACAGACCTGCTAATGTTTGATGTTAGAGGAACATTCTTCTTTGAGCAGGAGGAGTTTGCATTTAATGCCAAATGATGCACTTTGAAGCACAGTGTGTCTCTAGTCACATTTTACATTGGATTTGCTGGCTGTCTCCACAGAATCCTAATTAAGATGGAAAAGGTCAGTGATCTGACTCTGCTCTGAGATTTCATTCTGTATCTGTACGGTTTTTTATCTTTCACGAAGAGCTTAGTTCCAAAGAATGCTTCCTCTTTGCCAAAATTCCACATGATCTTGCCTTCAAGGAAACACATCCATTTTTAGTAAACTAGGAGAGCCTTTTTTCTTAAAGAAGATTTCTGGTAACAGTGATTTTAACCCATGAAGTGTGGACACAAATGAGTTAATCCTAGTTCAAATTATAACACCTATATTTCATTCATATGATTATTCATAGTGAAATTCAGTACTTGTGCTTTTATTGGTGGGATTAGTAATTTGTTTTTTGCAGTTTAAGGTATGGTAAGCAGCAAGGGTGTGCACCTACTTGTTAAAGAAAATAACCTGCATCACATAGATTACTTCTTGCTTGTTAAAAAATATGAAAATTTAAATAATACCTCACTACAACATCTGTTATTTTCTCTGAGAAATAGAAATCTTTGCAGAAATTTTAGTTTACACAATAATTTGTGTAAACTGTAACACCTTTCTGTCTTTTGGTTGTTGAAGTTATTTCATGCATACAGTAGCAGAAGAATATGACCAAAACAAGTCTTAATTGGCAGGGTATTAATTAGGTATTTAAATAAAATACCTTCATTTTTTCCTTTACCTCACTTATACTTTCTCTTTTGAGAAAAACACCAGCTAGTGCTGTGCTGCTGGGCAGTAAATATGTGAATGTATAACCAATCACTGGAATGATTTTGTTATTTTCTGGTTTTGTTATAGCTGTGCCTCTCATTCGGGTGTTTTGAGGAAGGTGATGGGGGAGAGGATGGAATTGCTGAATTGTTTCATGCAGTAACTGCTGCACTCTACCCTATTTCTGGTCACATTTAGGGTCTTTTCTGGCATGGGAAAGGATTCCAGAGAAATTGAGCAAACTAAAAAATGTCACTGTATCTTAGGGATGCTGTGTTCTAAACTTTAGGAAATTTAAATACCTATTGAAGGTTTGGGGGGGGACAAAGCAAGGATTGCAAATAACCAAAAGCAGTTCTTGAATTTGTAGGTTCAGAATTCACACTATTTTGTCATATGTTGCTTCTGTCTAATTCTCAACTCTCTTTTTAGCTTAGTTGTTGTTTCCCTACTGCTTGGCTGTTTTTATGGTCCTGGCCAGCCCTCCCTCTTGGCTCCCCCTTTGGGCACATGAAATCACAGATGCTGTGTGTAAGACAGCATTCTCATGGCCATAATGACTAAAAATGCTCTAAACTTATTAACCAAACTTGTAACTGGTTAGACCCATTTTGAATGATTTAAGAGACTATACTGCAGCATCAAAATTCAGCTGATTTTATCCTTTTCCCACTGAATGTCTACTGCTAAATAGGAATGCCAAGTTTTAAAAATCACTGTAGATTGAGGGAAGTCTGGAAAAACCTATTCATTGGTTCTAACCAGCTTTGGTGTCTCTTTCCTATCACACTCTGAGCTCATTTGTTGCTTAAAAGAGTGTATTTTCATTTCTTCATACCTAGTGTTATTTTTGCAGGGAGTTATTTCTGTAGCAATACTAAATCGTAGTTCACAGCATGTGAAGTTCTTGACTAATTCATGCCTTATGGTCTGCACAATGTGTAAAAAATAGTTTTTAGATGTTCTTTGGTAAGGTAAAGTGAAACAAAAAGCAAATAAGAATTCTCATATTTGTGGTTAAACCCTTTCCAAAACAGAGTAGAAAGAAACTTTTTGTCACTTTTCTGCCAGAAAATAGGGCTCACTACTTGGGATGCCTGCTTCTCTGTTAAAATGGGTAGAGTTCAAACTGCCTTTGGCAGCACAGCTGTGTGAAGGAAGGATAAAGCTGTGAGCTGAAGGATGCTCCTGTATTGTGAGAGAAGTGGTGGAATTCAAAAACTTTTACACCTTATACGTAAACCACTGTTGAAATAACTCTTCAAATAGATGGTTAAACATCCAGTCAGTGTGGGAAATAAGTACTTTTTCTAAATTACTGTTGATTGTTTCTGGTCTTCTCTGAAATAATTTGCATTTTTCTCTCTTTCTTGCATGGTAACATAAAATTGTATTATGAAACCTCATAGCAAGTTGTGTGGATGGTAGGTAATTCCAGTGTGGTTAGCTGCACTTGGTAGAAATATTTATATTATAAATTATATTACTATTATAAAATAAATAGGATACATTACTTATGTTGGGATAGTATGATTGAAAACTTCTCTTCTCTTCTTATGTTTTACAACAGTATTGGCACACAGAGATCCCACTAGGAATGTCACAGTTTTGGACACCACGGTGTAGCACAGCACTGAAACTCTCCTTTAAATCTGCTGCAGCTCTGCAGCTTGGAGGGGAGGGCTGGAGTGTGCTGTCATTTTCACTAAAGCCTTAATTAGAATTAAACTATGGAAGAAAAGCAGAAGGGACTTTAGGACATACTAGAGCACTCTGGGAGATGGCAAATGCAAAATAAGCATCCATTGCATAAATTCTTGCAAGTGTATGCTGTGTTCTGCAGGATGTATACAATTACTTTCTTGACTCCTTTGTTACCTACAGATTCTTAAGCAGGTTGTGATCAGTTCAGTTAATTTGCTGCTTCCGCTTAAGCTGGAGTTCAGTGAGTGCTTTAAAATGCCAAGAATAGTCTCTGCCACCAAAGTAGGGATTCTTCTGCCTGCACCAAGATTTTTCCCTGGTTCTGGTATAGGGTTTTTGGGAGAGGTGATCAGAAAACCACTGCATTTCTGATCAGGTTCTCTCATACACTCTGGCAATGCAAAGCACCTGGGACAAGCTGTAGAGGTAGGAAAATTCTGCTTTGGCAGTAGCAGGAAGAAGGATCCATCAGAATGATATTTCTTTGCATTGATGCATTTGTCTGATGTTTTATCTGGATTAGCAAATGGTAAGATCAGGATCTTTATGGAGCCTGTCTTTAGCAATCTGTAAGTGCAAGTTTTTCTTCACTCTTAGAAGAAAGGGATAAAAGGGAAAAATATTTTCTTTTTCACAAAAAGTAGAAAAGTAGGGCAAAGATCTCAAACTGCTTTCTGTCATAAAATAATAAAACTATTCTAGATAGACAATGCAAACTTATTGCTGACTTCTATCATTTTGTAGTTTTAACTCCCACTATTAGAGCTGTCGGAAACATTCATTTAAAGTGTTGATTTTTCAAAATCAAGTTTGGACAAGTTGAAGCTGAGGTCATGTTTGAGCCTGATACCAGCTGGAAAGAAGCACTCGGTGTTTGTGTATTGATGGGGGAGTGATTTTTAATTAATTTATCTTTTTAAATTTTTATTGTTGAATGGACAAGGGGTTTCATAAGGTTCCCCATTAACTTTTTGTATTGGTGGATTAGAGGTTTCCATGACTTTCATGCTTTCTTACCTGTGTGCACCCTGCTAACTTCATATCCATCACAGCCCCTGCTGTGGTGAGGTTTTGTCATACCTGGAGGTTGGGTAATGCTTCTATCAGAACTCAGAGCTGGGTGTGTCAGGAAGTGGGGACTGTAGGTGTGTGTCTGTGGGAACTACCCTTGGGAATTTATAAGCAGCAGCTTTCCTTGACCTTTAAAGAAAAAAAGAACCCTTTGCAACTGCATTATTTATCATAGTGCAGGTTGTGAAGGAGAGTAATGCTCATGGGTATTTTGTGCCCACAGACTAGTAATTGGAACTGTCCAAAGAAACATACAGATTCTTCAAGTGTAAACATTTGGTAGGTGTTTTGGTTAGAGAAGTTTAACCAAAGCAACCTTGCCAAGCAAAGATCAGCTTTGGCAGCTTTACTGAATGTTTCTTGTTTCCCTCCCTGCAGACTTGTCACGGAACAGACTGTCGGAGCTCCCAGCAGAAGCCTGCCACTTTGTGTCCCTGGAGACTCTGAATCTGTACCAGAACTGCATTCGCTATATCCCAGAGGCTGTTTTGAACTTACAGTCTCTAACATTTCTAAATATCAGGTAACAGTTGTCTTAGCAATTGTACTTTAGCATGAGGAAAGCTTTTGCACTCAGCCCAAACATACTCCTTTGTGACAGAGCATGGCCACTTATCAGAGCACCTGAAAGAACACAAAAACCTCACGTTGCTTCACTCAAAAGCCTCTGATCAGCCTTGATACTTGATATTCAGAGTTTGTTCACATATAACTAGATAAAGCAAGTAATGAAGAACAGCCTCATGGAACCACTTTTGTAGCAATTACATAAAAACTGATTTGATCATCTTTGATCATCTAAGTGGAGTGTGCTTTTTGTATGTGTCTTTCATTGCATGAATATTTCTCATTAGACTTATGATTATTTTGTTTTCTTTCTGTCCAAAAGTCGAAACCAGCTTTCAACTTTGCCAGTACACCTCTGTAGTCTACCACTAAAAGTTTTGATAGCAAGTAATAATAAGCTGGTTTCAATACCTGAAGAAATTGGACGGCTCAGACAGCTGACAGAGCTTGTGAGTATACACTTGATTTCCAGCTATTACTGTTCTGCTCTTGGCCTAAGGATGATCTGTGTCTGCCACAGTCTCTAAGTGTGTTTGGCTTTATATAGAGGTGTTAGAAAAGAGTTTTAAATACTTTGAGATTTTAGAATTTTATGTGAGGGAAAGATGCTGGAGAGCAACTGATCTGTGCCAATTTAAATGTCTTCCCTATTCTAGAAAGGAATACCTGGTGGAATTAGAGTTCTTGCTATGTTTATTTCTGACGGAAAGCTTTTATGTAGCAAATTGTGCTATCTGATATACTGTGGAGTAACTTGAAATAAATTTCTACATCTGAATGCTTAGTCTTCTAAAGCTTTTATTTCCCTTTGTGTTTAAAATGAGAACAATGCTTCATATGAGCACTGAGATTGAATGACTCTACGGATCTGAGGTGTTATATAAATAGCTGGGGTTTTTTTTCCTAAATACACCTGCATATTTTGGTCAACAAAGACTTAGACAGTGATAACTCATTCTTTGCTCTTCTTTGTAGGATGTGAGCTGTAATGAAATACAGACAATACCTCCACAGATTGGCAGTTTGGAGTCCTTGCGAGACCTAAATGTCAGAAGAAATAATTTGGTGCGTTTACCTGAAGGTGAGAAAATGGCTCTCCACTATAACAGCAGAAATTTCAAACACTTCTCTGTTTTCAGTCCCCTTTTCTTCCCCTGAGAGCTAGAAGCAACTTAATTGTTTTCTGAAACACATATTTTCATACCCTTGCTTTTTTTCTTAACTGTCTTTTAATCTTCTGAATTGTATGTTTGTTTTCTATCTCCAGAGCTTGCTGAGTTGCCTTTGATTCGATTAGATTTCTCCTGCAATAAAATAACAACAATACCAGTTTGTTATAGGAACCTCAGACATCTTCAGACCATCATGTTAGAAAACAACCCTCTCCAGTCCCCCCCTGCACAGGTAAACTGCAGCTACAAAATCAGATGATAAAGTTCAGCTAACGAGGGCAGAACTAAGTTATAAATTGAAGGATTATATTACATATTTGTTATTTAAGAGCAAGAGAAATTTAAATACATTCTATTGTCTACAAGTACTAAATATGTAGCACAGCTTGAAAAATCCCTTTTCTTCTTTTTACTGTATTAATAGTCTCTGCTGTGGAATATTACAAAAAATTCACTAATGTTGGCTTGAATATTTCTGCTTTCAGCAGAGGAGAGAGGAAACTCTGTTAGGCAGGACTAATTTTCTGTCACTCAAATGTCAGAATTTTGACTGAGGCCTCAGTGCTGCAGTTTGCTGATCCACTTTGCAGCAGAGTACTCAAATTGGCCTTTGAGCTAGAAACTGCAATATTGTTAATGACTAATTTGAATTTCAGTGTGGGTATAGGAGCCCCTGAGTATTACAAGTTCTACTGTGAGCTGCTGCATCAGAGTCAAGAGGGGCACTTGCTGAAACTTGTAGTTTCAGTAGGGTTTTACTTTCCTTGTGAAAGCAGAGACAGCTGTTACTGCCTTCATTGGCTATAAATTTGAGCTGGCTTTGGCAGTCTGCCACTACCATTCAAATATGGGCATGGGTGGGATGCATCTGTTCTGATGCCAAGGGTATAAATTCTGGTACTTGTAAATGCTCATGTCTTGTTTGCATGATGAAATTTCAGCATCCAGCTGACAGAATTGCCTGCAGACCAGATGTACTTGGAGGACAGCTTCCATTTGTCTACCACAGGCATCCCATGATGCTCCTCTATAGCTGTTCCTTTAAAATGCAGTGATATTAGAATAAAAGATACATTGATTGATGTAAATGTGCTCATTTATTATTATTCTCAACTACATCTTGAATGTCTGTAGTGTATTTTGAAAATATATTGTCAAATTATACTTACTTGAATTTTTTTTGAAGATATGTATAAAAGGAAAAATTCATATATTTAAATACCTGAACATAGAAGCATGCAAGATAGCGCCAGACTTGCCTGATTATGATAGGAGACCCATGGGATTTGGATCATGGTAAGTTTTGCACAAGCCAGTTTTAATGGCATTCAGGAAAATTTTGTCAGTCCACCTTGAGTTTATTAAAAAAAAAAACAGATCAAGGATTGTTCTTTAGCAGGTGCATTGAGGAGGCTTTAAAAAATTTTGTTTATGGTATTTCATGGTGCATTCTAGTAAGGTACCAGTGTGTAAGAACTGAGAAGTGGTTCAGGAGATGACTTGGGCAGGGTCCTGGGAAAGGCAGTGTCAGAGCTGATATGCAGTAAAAAGAGAATAATAATAAACAATACAGGGGGTATGCTCCTGTGTTGTTAACATCTATGTTCAGTTTACAAGATCTTAATATTTTCCACAGACTTACTGAATCATATCCCAGCTGTGATTTTTAACCTTTTGTACAGAATTTTATAACGGCTGTGCTCAAACCGCAGGTGTAAATGCTGATCTCCACCCCGTTAGCAAACTGTTATTTCTGGCAAGCTGTCACTTGGCACTGCTGCTTGGCATTGTAACACAAATATTGGAACAGTCAGCCATATCAGCTGCTAAATTAAGATGTCTAGCAAAAACCAGGAGTTGAGATTTATTTCTGTTATGTGATACAGAAGAAAGGCAGTCAGTGAAGTATGAAACTGAATATATATAAAAATCACTTCAGTCATCTTTGAAGGTAGCAATAATGTGTGGAGGAGTAAGTTGCTGAAGGATATACTGCTGCTTTAGCAGCAATAAAACACATATCAGAGGGCTTCACAATAAATCATCATGAGTCAGATTGATGAAGAAGAATTTGCATGAGGAACTGGCAGAGTGATTCCTCATCAGCACTGAATGTCATAAGTTACTGTTCTAGATGAGGTTAGCATATGAGCATGTCAAGGGTTAATAGATTTCCAATACAAGCTGGTGCAGCTGGTTTCTGCATAATATTGAGGATACCTTCTTCTGGAAGGAAAAGGCTCTAAATGAGAAAATGTTATGATCTGTTTAGCTCTAACATAGTTTGTTAATTTTTAAGAGAAATTCAAAATCAGGTGGGCTGTAGGCTTACTGATTAAAATTGTTGTCTGTAGCTGTATATTGCTCTGGAAATTTTCATAAATTGCTTTTGTGAAATGAGAAGAATTAATATATTTTAATCATAGCTTGAAATTGTAAATGTAAAAACAAGGGCAGAACATCTTCAACTTGTAAAAACAAGTTGAGGATGTTTTCTCTAGAATTTTTACCAGACTCAGCAGTATGAAATGAGCTTCAACTGGCTTTGCCTTAGCTGTATTTCTGTACCCAAGAAGAGATAAGAGTTGGTGGTGGAATTATTTGTTGTACTGTGCTGTTTAGGGCATTTAGTGTTGCAGGTGATTCTTTCCATCTTCATGTAGCTATGGAAGAACTGTCTGTGGACAGAGCACATTTTAGGAGAAAATTTGTGGAATGATCCCGTGAAAGAGAAAATCCTCGGTTATTATATTTTTATGTAACTTGAGGTGAAAGAAATAAAATCCTTCAGCTGTGATACAGTTAAGGCAAAAGAGCTTTGTGTTTGTTATCTTCAAAGGTGACCAATAGAAATATGCTATCAGTCAGTCCACCTAGACTTGGTTGCTGGTTTATCTGATCAGCTTTGTGTAACACCATGCAGGTTGAGAGTCTGAGTAGTAGAAACTCTTAAAGTTTAAGGAAGTCTGCCATGCTGTCAGTTCACATTTGTCGAACATTTTTAATAGCAAGGCTGTTGGTACTGTTAATAAAACAAGATGCTCTGAAACACCATGGCAGGAAATGGGTTGGAGGTTCTAGCACAGCTAATTGATTGGTTTAGCCTTGTCAAATTATATCAAACTGTTTAACTAGAGTGAATCTCTATGCTTCAGTCCTTTTCTAAACATAAGCTATGTGAAATTTATCTTGTAGCAAGTTCTGTTCAGCTGCAGTAAGCCAGTCTCATTTGCAGCAGTGAAACTCCGAGCAGCTCAGGTTGGTGCTGGAGGGAATGAGACTGAGAGGAGGCAGAACTGTCAAAGCTGTGTAGCAGTTGTTGGCAGACTGGCACAGTCTGGAGCTAGAAGGTTTAAAATACCAAGTACCCATGGGTGAACCAGTGTAGTGACTATTCTGGGACTTGGGCAACTGTTCTTGCTTACAGGAGGTAAAGATACAGGTTTTAGTGTGACATGGAAATGGCAGCAAGAACTGGCTTTCATTGTTGGTCTTAGCAGGCATTTGGCTTCTCATCCTTTGATTTCAAGCTTTACATAGCTTCCTGTAAGCTGTAGTTACCCCAAAATAGTCTGATCTCTCCAAATGCTTAATGTGGCTTAATTGTTCCTTTGTGGCTTGTTGATCAGGGAGGAATAAAAATCCCAAGTCTCAGCTGATTTCAGGATGGCTGCTGTATGATTATAAATGTGTGAAGTGTGTAGCATTGAATAGATGGGTTTTGTTGTGAGAGTTGGGAAGACAGATAGGAACTTTGTTGTTAAAAAGGAGAAGTCCTGGGCACAGTGTTTATGTATTTTTGAGCTTCCAGCTAACTTTAGTGTTGGATGTAAAGCTTTTCAAATTCTCCAATTGAAAAGGCAGGCTAAAAGAAAATTTGTATCAAAACACTTCCTCATTTTTGAGCTCCTTAATTTGTAGTAATTGTTCAATTTACAGCAGGGTGCTCAGGAAATGCTGAAAATATTGATTCATTTAAAATGGAATTCTATTGCAGATGGATTTTTCTTTTTTCCATGTTGTAAAAATATATGTGAGTTCTACGAACTGTTAGTATAATTATGGTTCTATTGTCAGTTACTCAAATTAGTAGCTCTTTAACTACATTGGGTGACTTCATAGTAATTCTTTTTTCTTCTCACCCAGAAGAAAGGAGTTGGTTTTTTCTTTGGCTTTTTTCCTTTCTGATGGTTTATTATGCAGATAATCTTTCTGTTCAAATACAGGGCCGTAAAAGTGGATTTGAGTTAGTCAAAACTCTGTGCAGATGCAAGAGCTTGTCTTTTAGTCTACATCTGCATAGAAACAGATGCATAGCTTAATGTGTCTCATCTGTAGCCTCCATCCCTCCTGGTACTTCTTTGCTATTTCATGTCTGAAAACTAAAATAGGCCTTGAGAGTAGTCTGTCGGTCTTTAATAATAATAATAATAATAATAATAATAATAATAATAATAATTTGAAAATAAGTATTTCCTGAAAGTGGAATTTCAGAGGGAGCAGCAACTTGAGAGCAGTGCCACTGAGAAAATGACCTGCAATTCAGTTACGATGGGGTGAAGCAATTAGCTTCCTGAAATTCATTCCTCCTTGTGCATTATGTAGTAATTACTGCTGCAGTTCTCCCTGGGGCATCGAGTGCCAATAGGACAGTTGAGCCATTGTGAAATGCCATCTGCAGTGGATCAGACAAGTCCCATTGTCTCTTTTACTGTAGCTATCTGCAGCAGTTGCCAGAGTTGACATCTGTGATGGCTATACTGCTGAATGACGTAGTTTCTAAGCCCAGAAATTTAAAGAACTGTATGCCTCTTTGGTTATATGTATTGTAACACTGGGCACATGTCTAATGCCTTTGTCTAGACATGTCATTGACAAAGCTCTGTAAATGAGAACTGTACTTCTACAGTTATTACATTGTGATGTATCTGAAATATTGTTACTTACTGCAGTTTCTTATGTCATTATGACACAGAAGACATTTATGTAATACATGCTGCATAGTTTTGAGTAAAAGTAGTATATTCTGTATTTTTAGTGATTTTGTACATATTTATGCTTATTTATGTAAAAGTTTGTTTGACAGTGGTTTTCAGCCAAAACATATGAGTCATAGAAAATGAAAGTTTGACTTGCTAAACAGAGAAATATGAGACCAGTTTGCAGTTTGCTTTGTCATAATTTCTCTTTGGGAAATGTTTGAAGAGTGGATCTCTCCTTTGAATCAGCTCAGCTCAGAGGGCCAGGCAGTGGCAGGTGACAGCTGACTGATAGGGGTGGTGAGCTGTCAGCATGTACCTCCTGCTCTGTTGTAGCAAATGCAGCATGAGGTTTTCAGACATGCTGAGCTTGTGAACACGCTGAAAGTGTGCTTGGTGGCTTATTCTGCTGTTGTTGTGTAATGGCTGAGAAGCTTTTGGTGGTGTTTCTATCACAGTAACTAAAACTGTGTGTTTGACAGCCACGAGGAGCTCTATTCCAGTCGTCCATATGGGGCACTCGATTCTGGCTTCAATAGTGTGGACAGTGGAGACAAAAGATGGTCAGGGAATGAAGTAAGTGTTGCAGCTTTATTTTTGTTGACTGCAGTATTGTACAGTAAAGATAACTAAATGTATGCATCTGGAAGCACATTCCATGGGTAACATGCATGTGCTAGTGTGCAGGTTGCCTTGAGCCAATATTACTTGTTTTATTGGAGAAAAAGTAAGGCTAATTTTATATGGGACAGACCCCAGGTTGGAAGTATTAACAGAAATGTATAAAACAGTGCATGAGAGGTTAATTTACTGGAGCATAAAAAATGAGAAAAATAGGGTTCCTCGTTTTAAAAACTTTGTAACAGTATCAAATTACAATGCTGAGTCAACTCTAATTTTTCATGAAAAGATGTTCCAATAAAATAAATCTGAACATGAATATTCGGCTTTGGAAATCAGCTGGAAATTTGTCTTATTCCTTTGTTTAAAAGGAGCTATTTACAAGGAGGAAAATAGGATCTCTTAGCAGAAAGATTGTCAATTATTATTGCCAGGAAGAAGTTCCCTTTTCCTCTTGGAGCAACTAGAAAATAGCCAAGACCTAAAGTCATAATGAGCTATAATCCATACTTGCACTCCCAACTTGATTTTAGAGAATGTGCTAGGATTTTCCATCCTGGGATGTTTTCAGTCACGTGCAGGTACTGCAATCAAAACTGTAGGTAGCTGGTTTCTAAAGAAAGCTCAGCTCTATGTTTTTTTAAAACAATACATTATAGCTGTCTTTTGCTTTAAATTAGTGTGTTTTGTGGTTGTAAAACAGGGCAATTGAAATACAAATCAAGAAGTAGTAGATTACAAAATTATGTTTCTGAGGAGAAATATTTCTAGACTTCACTGTTTGTTTTCCAAAGCCAACAGATGAGTTCTCAGATCTCCCATTACGTGTGGCAGAGTTCACCAAAGAGCAGAGACTGAGAAGAGAAAGTCAGTACCAAGAAAACAGAGGGAGTGCAGTTGTAATTAATGGTGGAGGTAAGTAGTGACTTTTGGTTAACAGTATTTACTGTTATCATTATTAAAGTTTCAGAATGTCTCCTACAGATAGTAGCTTGTTTAAAGAGGAAAAAAACCAGAAAGGTTTAGGTGGAATTACACAAAAGCAATGTTGTGAAAACTAAAAATACTGTTGTTTTAAGGATGTTAAAGGCAAAATCAAATAACAGCAGAATTGGTATTTTCTTGAAAACTTTGTCAGCTTTTGGCTGTGTCCTGTGTTAAAGTCTCAACTGCTTCAAATGGTATTTTGGAATATTGAATTTCAGTGCATGGAGTTTTGCTGTTTGAGCTTCTGGGGAAAATTTACTGCAGCAGTAAATTGTCAGTGCTCTGTGCTGACTGCTGTCAGAACAGGATGAGCAGTTTTGTCAGGGAATTTTATATTTCCGACTGGCACTAGTGTCTCATTCCAGTTTTGGGTTTTAATCCAAACTTTAATATCATCCAGGAGGGGCTGGTGTTTGTGAGTGGCAGTGCTTTGTTGTGCTTTCTCATTTGGTGTCCTGCAGTCTCACAGGATCACCTTCATAGCTGTTCAAGAGGTGATCATGCTTTCCATGTTTCTTGATCTCCAGTCCTCTTTCATTTTAACTGCCAGAAATCTGCTGCTACCAGTGTCTCCTTTTGTTTATATGCCTTAATTTTAACAATGTTTCAGGTTTGTTTTTTCAATCATTCCTTCTTCTCCATTGTTCTGCAGTACTTTTTATTAGATCTCTTCTGCATATACTTTGATTCTTCTTCTTTGTCAGCTGCTCCCTGTTTTTCATTTTCCCTGATGGCTACAGTTAATTTTTTCTAAGTATTGCTCTTCCCAGCTATGTCTAATGTCCTATGCCCAGCTCCCACTTTTTCTTCTCTCCTCCCTCCTCTTCCTATCGTTATCTTTTGCCATCTTCTTTTCTTGGTCTTAGTCTTCTGTGCCACAATTTTTTATTTTTTTCGCAACCTTCTAGAAATATCTGAAACTTTTTAGTTAACTCAAGGTCTTTCACACATTAATGGGGAAAAAATTATTTTCAAACAGTTACATTCTAGCAGTTAGAAGAATTGAAGACATGGTGTCATGGGGAGCGTTGGGTAGCCTTAATAACAGGTAGTGCTGCCAGCTCTGCCTCCAAGACTAACTTTATTTTGTTCTTTGGCTTTTGCACACCAGGGATTTCAAAATGCCTAGCAGACTTTGAAGCTGGAGCATGATCAGTTCATGAGTAGGTGTATCTGAGAGGGGCACAAACCATAGCATGTGGCTGTCAGAGATCCACATGTTTTGCAGTTTTATGTTCCTAACACAGCTACTAGTATCTTTCACATTTTTCTGTATTATTGTTTTTATTATCATCATCATGATTTAATAAGCAAGCCTGGAAAGAAGGGAAGTTTGGGTTTTTTGGGTTTTTTTAAGATTTGAAACTGAGATGGAAATTTAATGAAGCCACAGTATATAGGAATGTAGTTTTGGATGGTTGTAGTAGCAGAGGGGGTGGCTTTGGCAGTAACAGTTGCTAGATTGTGTGGTGAGGCAAAGAGAAGTCTGTTTTAGACAAGCAGGAAAGGGGCGGGGGAGTAAAGAAGAATGTCTGCAAGAGTCTGGAGCAAGTTTGGGGAGAGTTTTAAGAAAAAAGAAATCTCTAGTGGTCTGAAAGGGAACTTATATTTCCCCTGCATCCCCAGTGCAATATTTTTCACCAGGGGCGTTTGCTCAATGTCATGACTCTCAGAATCCCCGGGCAGAATGTGGAAAAGCAGTGACAAGTGAAAAAATTGCCCTACATAGTATCTCCCACACAAAGAAAAATCAACACCAGCCAGACCGTGCTATTTCTTGCTCTCATTTCAGTGATTCCTAGTTTCTTTTTCATTCTTCTTTTAAAATAAAATTGCAGGTGCTTATATTGTTTTTGAGGAATTTTGTTGTTTTCTGTAGTGTTGTTCATTATTTCCACATACACTTCTTATATTTATTGTATTTGCATCCAGATAACTTAGACATGCTACTCTCTATTTTGTTGTAGTAGTAACACTAGTAGAAGGATCTGTCATATGCATTCTGATTTTTCTGACAGAGAACCAGGAGAAATTATTCCAAAATATACAAAGGTCATTGTGCAGTCTTGATATTAGCTGAAATACTTTGATATATAGTTTTTGGTTTTGAAAAGGAAATCACAGTATTTACTTTTTCAGTCACTGCAAAAGTATTTGCAGCCAGCAGTATAAAACTGCCTCCTTGATACATGTTCCTCGTTGCTTTATAAAAGGCATAAATTTTACAATTATTTCAAAATTTGTTGATCTAATGTTAGTGGGCCTGACAAAATCCAGGAGCTTTCAGGCTGAGCTTTCCCAGATGGCAGAAAAAGCAGGGCCTTAGCTCCTGACCGTGCTGTATTGCTGGGTTTTGTCCTGTCTCATGGCTTATCTAATTGTGGCTGTTTTCTCTGTGTATGTTTGTCAAGTGGAACACGACCTCGACCAGATTGACTACATTGACAGCTGTGCCACGGAGGAGGAGGAGGAGGAGGTGAGGCAGCCCAAGTGCCAGGACACAGACAGCCTCAGCTCCCAGTTCATGGCCTACATCGACCAGCGGCGCATCTCCAATGAGGTGGGGCTTTCCCTTGTGTTCATGCAGTTCACACACCCCAGCACAGCCCTTGGGAAAACTCTTCCCTGTTAAGTCTTTTGGGTGTTATTCTTCTGGAGAGAGTCCTCAGAAACTGAACCTATAGAAACAGATTTTTATCCACATCATGTTTCCTTCTGTGTGCTTCATTAATACCTGTGTACACAGTTACACAGTTCAGTGGCTCACTGTACAGGCTACATGAATAACTTGTCTGAAAAAAATCTCTGTGGTTGCTCTGCTTAAACAGTAACTATGGTGCTGTGATTCAGATGTGTCCTTTCAGAGTTCTGTGTGTTTTGAAGGAGAAAGATATTTGCTATTTGAAGAAAGAAAAAGAAGGGGATCTTTAGCTTTTATGTAGGAGCTTGGTCCCTATCTTGTGAACCCTTTATTACTGTTTGAAATCAGTCATACAGATATGAGAGATGCATTCATTTTGCAAAGCTCATAAATTCAATATCAGATCACGGAAGCTGAAGCACAGACACAAGAGCAAAACTTTTCTAAGTCAACTGTAGGCAATGCATCCCAAGGACTCCTTGCTGTAGATAGGGAAAAGGCATTGCTCAGCATCACAACAGCTATTCCTCAGGGTCTATCTAGTCATAAAAATTAAATTGCTTTTAGCTGAAGGAGTAGTTTCTCTAAAAAGACTGTCCAAAATACTCTACTGCTTAGGAAGGCTGACTGAAATATAGCAGCATGCACGCAGGCAAGGGTGAAAATTGAAAGGTTAATCTTGACATGTTTTTATTTTCTTATAGTAACGGTGTCAGTGGAAGTTTTTAAATAACACCAAAGACAATATGTCCCTGTCCCCAATAGGATAAATTATTTCATTGCTCAAATTAAACCAAGAGTCTTCTTATTAATCCCATGTTTTCCTTTCTTAGTCTTTTTGGGACCTGTCTTTAGAATGTCATAAAAGACCATCAGCTTCTTTATTCCATATTTCTGAGAATCCAATCTTCACTACTCTACACTTGTAAAGTTAAACTCCAAAAATGTATCTATATTTCAATACAAATTTTATACCTACCTGAACTTCTCTGCATGACTGTTAATACTGGAGGGTTTAAACTCTAAAGTTACCAGCATGTATATTTAATCTTGAAACTATTATTTATTTAATTTGGAGAAAAAATAAGAGTGAGCTTGCTTGGTTGGAAATGAACGTCTCTGACTCTTGTTTTGTGCTTTTTGTCAGGTGTTTTAAATACCAGTGGCTTTGGCAGTTACAGATGCAGCTCTACAGAGAAATTGTTTGGCATTAATGTACAGTTTTCTGAATAAATTGCTGGCTTAGTCTTTTGTGTTTTTTTTTGCTTAGAGCTCACCAGTAAAGCCTGTATCCATCAGAGAATTTCAGAAAACAGAGGATTCAAGACGACATTTACATCAAAACAGGTAAGAATTACTGTGGCAACAATAATTTTATCCAGAATTTTGTGATGAATGCAGAGCATGTATTTACTGAACATGTTTAGAAAATGGCATTGCTTCTGTTGCTTGGCCAGAAGTGTGTATGGCACTCCTTTAATAAGTTATTGCTCCAAATTAGGAATTGGAATTCTAATAATGGCAGTGAGCAAAAGGCATAACTGTTCTATGCCAATACTTGACTTAAAATCAGTTGGTTAAAGAAATCTGCATAATTAAAGTGCATATTTTTAACTGATTTAATATCTGCTTTTTGTGATTTAATTTGTGGTTTGATTGAATGCTTGATTTAAGCTGTAGTGCAAAGAGGACAAAAGGGATAAAGGTACTTGCAGGAAGGATAGAGATACTATGGAGTATCTGATGTGCCATGAGGACACATTCTTGGTTGACTCCTGATGTTTTTGATATTGTGGAAGAATAATTTATTTTTTAAAGTACCTTTCTGGGCCATAATCATGAGCCTAGATCAGCAGAAGGGATAGAATGGGAATCAATTCTGAAAACAAGTTGTTTATTTTGATGAAGTATGCCCATGCTCTTTAATGATTACTCTTTAATGATTACTTTAATGATTATTGGAGAGAATGCTTATCTGTAAAATAAAGGTCAGAATTGGACAGAGTATCAATGGGGGGTGGTTAGGTTTCTGAAAAGAATTTTGGATGTCTAGTTAAAAAAAATAAGATAAGCAAATAAAAGATAAAAAACAAGCAGTTTCTTGCAAATGAAAATTGATAGAACCTTTCTTATACTATTGAAGCATTTCAGTATTCTGTGGACTGGAAGTGAATTTGCAGGGACTCCACAGAAAACCAGCCCAGTTGTACTTGGAATGTTTGGGGGGTGGGGGAGTGGTGGAAAAGACAACTGCTAGTCCTAAGTAGGTCATTACTTATACTGTCAGTCGAAACCAATTTTTAATGGATTCTGAAATGGTACTGAAAGAGCAAATGAAACTAAGATTAGTGTATAAATTTTTCCAGAGTTTTGGCAACATTTTAATAGGCATTCTGAAATGTGCAGAAAATGTGCAGATACAGTAGGTGTACTGATACAAGGGAGGGTAGCTGTTTCAGCATGTGTCAGCGGTCCTTATCCTGTCCACAGGTCAGGTATAAAGTGATAGCAATTCTGCCATGCTCTCCCCCAAAAAAGAGGGCTCTTGGTTTGAAAAATTGATTTTTTTGCTTGTTTGTTTACTTCTTTTTTTTTTAATTTGACCATTTGTGGTCAACATGGAAATAATTAAACTTTGCAAACCCTGGTTTCCATGATAAATCTGAAGGAAAAAGGAGAAGGCTGTTAGCTGGGGAGAGCTGCTGTTTACATAGACAGATGTTAATGATAAAGGAAGCTGTAGCTCAGTAAGCTATCCAGTGATTTCAGAATTTAACTTGAGGATAGCAGGAAATCTCCATGCTGAAGTAGTTAATCAGCAATCTGAATGAATTGTGGCTTACTATGCTGCAGCAGAGTGAAATTATAAAAGCACTAAAACCAGATTGTGTTGTTATTGCCTTCAAAATTGTGTAAAAACAGCCATATGACAATGAGTATTTTTTTGTATTTTAAGCTTGTATTAGTCAAATATTTTATTTTGTGGCAACCACAAGGTGTAAAGTGCTTCCACAGTAATTCTGTGCAAATGCCTTGGCAGCCAGCCTCTTTTTTTTTTTTTTTTTGGAGCCGTTAAAACTCTGAAAGTTGGATGTAACACAGACTTCATCTCAAGAGTACTTATATTAGTTGATTAAATTAAATAAATACAGTTTATGCCTCTGGACAGACTGTGGTTCATTCCTGATGCACCAGAGCTGTGTGTACTCTGCTCTGAACACACTCCTTGGCACTGAGCTGAACCCAGTCCTGTCTGTTCAAAACAGCTCTAAGTAATGGGTTTGTCATGTGCTTCAGTGCTAATTTAAGTAACAGAAGAGACCTGTAACATCTGGGTCTTCCACATCTCATCTCCATGAGGAAAAGGCCCCAAGTGTGCACACAGCCAGCTGGACTGACATTTTTTGGAAATGCATGGTGAAGTGTGTCTGTGTTCCATGGCTGCCCCAGGAGCGAAGGTCGCAGAGTTTAGGCTGTCAAGAGGAAGCTCCTTGATTTCCATCAACTTTGTTTCTAGGCAGCAGCGTGTCAGGGTACATGCTGTAGGCTGTGGACCTTGGGAATAGTTTCAGTGTTAACAGCTGCCTTCTGGCAAAGAACTGACTGCAGAATTTCTCTCTTATGGTTGATATGATGGATAAGAGCCAGATGGGTTCTTGTTTACCTTGTGACTTTGAGGGCTTGTGTCACTGGCAGCCACCTGATTGGTGAGGTGAGCAGATTTGTGCTGAAAATACACAGGGGTCCTGATGTTTAAAATAATTCTGCTCTTTCCAGAGCAGAATAAGACCTGCAATAACCCAAATATTGTCTTAAAAGAGAGAATCCATCTTTGTGTATTTTTAAGTCATTGTTAATTCAGCAAGTTACGTTTAATTATGAACTGCAGTTGTGATCTGACGTGGTATCACAATGTGATTTTTTTAGTCCAAATTTCACTTTTTTGATTATATGAAGCTAATTATTTGGGCATTTCTCTCACAAAAACAGTTGCAATCTAGAGTAGAATTAATCTGACAGTAGTCTATATGCATCAGTGGCCAAATCCCCTTCCACCTGGTGTCTTACCTGCAGGGATACAGATGAATTACGAAGACCTGAAACTCTAAATTTGATGCAAGACAGAGAGCATCAAATACTAAGGAGTTATGTGGACAGGACAGAGAGGTAGGGAAAAAGAAATTGAGTGTTTCTGCTGATTCATTTTATTATTTTCCCTTCCCTCAAATAACCATACTATGCAGTTGTTCCTCTAAATGAGGATCATGTGGAAAATTCCTGGTTTGGTTACTCTTAGAGAATGGATATAAAGTACTGAGTATCTCAATGTAGTAGGCCAAGTGTACAACCCCACTGGTACATCTTGTGCCGTAAAAAAATGTTATTACAATTCAGGAGAAAAAATAGAAACGACTCACAAAATCTGTCGTTCACAGTGTTAAATCATCATCACAGCTGTTAGTAGACAGTTACTCTTCTGATTTCATCAGCTACTTGTGTGTCACCGACAATTCATGTATGCAGAATTTTTGGATTTAAGATTAAAAGTCTACTTACTCTCTGTTTTTGCATTTGTCAGACCCCTGCCTGATTCACCTTATTTTCTCTCGCTGTCAAGTCACCACACCCAGGTAACACATAGAATTCGAATGGTTTTGAATGGGTTTGCTGTGAAACCAAAGTGATGTTCCCCATTAGACGTGGGCTGTTTCTCCATAACCCATGTGCAGCCTCACAGGCTGGTGCCGTGTTTGGTTGCAGGTGCCCGGCGCAGACTCGGAGCTGCAGCGCCGGCACATCGAGCGCACGCGCCGGGAGGCCCAGCTGGCAGCCCTTCAGTACGAGGAGGAGAGGCTGAGAACCAAGCAGATCCAGAGAGAAGCTGTCCTTGACTTTGTTAAGGTGCCTCCTTTTAGTACTTACTTCATACTTTATCTTTTCTAAATCCCTTAATTATAACTAATTGCCATGATAATTACTGCTTGTATGTTAGCTCCCGGCTCTTTATAAAGAATTTGGACAAATACCGTTTAAGTCCATTAAGTGTTGGTGCTGTAGCTTAACACAGACAAAGCTAGAACTGAGGAGGAAGATGGAAGATTTACCCAAAATGTGATTGTTGCAAAGAATTCTGATTTTTGCATATTTCACCTCATACTTTCAATTTTCATTTGCATAGATGTGATGGGATTAGTTTAAGAAAGAAGAGGCCTTTATCTGAGAAGGCATAGAGGCAGTTTAATTTTGAAGACAAATTTGGCAGGAAGGAAATAATCATACACACAAAAATATAATGCTGCCTGATCTATTTTGCTATTTTGTGATAATAAAATAAGTTAGTTCTGGGTAAAGCATGGGTGCAGACCTATGGTGTACATCAGGCACTCACTCTGAACGCTGTGTCTTCACTGTCTCTATCTCTGCACTCATGTCTTCTGCTTAGCATGCCAGTTTATTTATATGATAGTTGATTTAAATTTGTTTTACTGTTTGCTGCTCTGGTCACTTACCTGAATCTTACCATCACAAATTTAAGAAATATTACAGTTAATATTTATTTTGCATTTAGAGTGGTCTGCAGAGAGGCAAAGCATGGTTTATTGCTTATATTTAATGTATAAAGTTAGTCTAGAAAAAGGTCTTAGCTGCCTAAAACTAGGCTTTTCATTAGCAACAACTATTCTTAGGTCCCTGGCACTATTTGGCAGTAAAGCTGCTTATTAAAGATTCAGCTCAGTCTTTTAGTGAAAGATTAAGCTTATAGGATGTGTGTTGTTCATTGATGAGTCTCCTGGGGTTTTGGTTTGGGTTTGATTTTCGGGTATTTTTATTCTGTTTCCTTTGTTGTTCATGACCACTTTATTCTCATCAGTTAAATTCCTCCCCAAGTTGTATTTTGGGTTTATTGTGCATCTTTAATATGCATAATTTAAATTTTTGCTTGTTTGAATATGAAATAAAGGCTGATTTTTTACTAATATCAGGGAAGTTTCAGCTCTGTGAACCTAGTGCATGTTCTATTTAAAAAACTGAGACCTCTGTTTTCAAACACTTCTAAGTTATGCTGCTTTGTTGGGAGCTTTTGTTTCGCTGTGACATTATTTTAAGTTTTGTTTTTTCTTTTTCTGTGTAGCAAAAAGCCTCCTTAAGTCCTCAGAAACAAAGTCCAATGGATAGTGAGGTAAGAGTCCAGTAAGAGCATTAGTATGGATGTCAGTACTTAAATTCCTAGCTCTCTATCAGAGTTATTTTCCTCATTGGGGAAAATACCTCAAAATCGGGTTATAGCATAGTTTTTTCACATATTATTAAGCCTTGGGTTGGGGTTTTTTTAATGGGGACAGCCTAGAATTTTCTTCTGTTCGTGTAGATTGCCTGTCCAAAAGTGTGTTGTTTTATTGTTTTTTGTATGTTTTCCTATGTTCTCTGCAGAAAATGCATTTCATATTCTATTCTAACCTACTCCTTGTGAGCAGTACAGTTTATAGTCTAACAGGAGTATTCAGAATATTCAGTCAAGTTACAGTGTTAGAGTCATCCTTCACAAATCAGTTTTCTCCCAGTTTCCTGTTATTAGATCACTAGTTGTTCCAGAAATATTAAGCTTTAGAATTTTGAGGGTTGTCAGAAAAAGGAATAAATATTTTTAAAGTTTTTTCCTACTATAGTTTTACAATAATGTAGTATTTATAATCAAAATCAGGTAGTGATTTTGATTATAAATTCACTTGGTAGTGTTAATTAGATCAAAACTTTTAATATTATAACAAATACAATAGTTCTTTAGCAGTGTTTTGCAGCTAACTCTTTTTGTTAGAAAATTAGCAAAACGTGGGGTAATTGAAAGTTTTTTGCATCTTTTTCTTCTTAATGTTTTTCTATTCTTAATTTATTCTTTTAAAAGGTCCTTTGTTCTACCAGAGTCAGCACTGTGAATGCAGAGTGTTCTGTATTTGCTTGACACAACACAGAAAGCAGAATAATTGATTCCTTAAGTAATGTGACTGCACTGTAGTTCCTGGGTCCTGAGGCTGTGTATTCCTACAGAGTTACAGATACTTCATGGATTGTTTTAAGGGGCCTCACAGTGCTATAAGCAAGCAGTACATGTTCCAAAATGTCTGTCTGTTCACATACCATGTGTTTCTGACATTGTGTGTGTTTCTGACATTGCTCCATCTCTCCCACCTCCCAGTGTCCCTTTCCATCCAGAAGGTCTCAGCATACTGATGATAGTGCCTTGTTAGTGGTAAGATCCTGCACGGAATGGCCTTTTTCTGTGGCAGATTCTAGAGCATAGAATGACAACATGTAATGATTGTCACAGATTAGAGCAACGTTTTAGACCTAATCTAAATAGCATAAAACATGACCATCTCCTTTGAAAAGTAGCTTAGCTGTGAACTATGATGTTATAAATATGTTGACACTTTTTCTGTCAGACATTTGCTAATAATACAATGATGTTTTTTCCATAAAATAATTAAAGCTTATATTTTATTTGAGAGCAGAAGACAATTACTGATAGTAAAGAACAGTTTCTAAAATGAAAAATTCATCTCTAGTTGTTCTGATTTGGTATCTTTGCCATTCAGCTTGCTTCCTAATTGATGTGCTCTTCAGTGTCAAGGAAGCAATTTTACTGCTTAGTACAGCCTTCTGCTTTAACTTGTCTGTGTCCTGCACATGGGGGTTAGAAATACTTGGCACAAGAAAAAAGAGTTCTACTTACGAATGCCACAAATCATGAAATACTCCTCATACAGTTTTATTGTTTATTAATGCAAATGTCTTAAAAATAATCTATTTTGAACACTTATCAAAAATAAAAACAAGTGTGCACATACTTCATGTTTTATGCTATTTCTTTCTTTGTGGCATCTTAGCAATGTAGCATAACTAAAAAATCTAATTAATGTCATAATCTGTGTCTAGAAAATTAAAAATACACCTGATTTGCCTGCTGTTGCATGACTGCATGCCTAGAATTTATTTTCTTGATTTATGTGCTTCCATTATCTGCCTAAATTTTCTTTAGGCAGTGCTCTTGGTTAGAGTGTCTCTCTCCTGAATGTGTTGGTCAAGATATTTACTGTGTCTTTATTCAGACTTTTTGGGTTTTCTGCTTTTGTAAGACTAGCACTTTGGTGGGTGAGGAAGAAAGCTTAAAATGTTAGAGAGAGATTTAATAATCATGTGGCTGTTTAGAGAAATCACTATCAATGAGCATATTAAAATGTGCTTCCATAGTTAGGTCATAAAAAGCCCGAGAACATCAGTAGTTTGGATTGAGATGATTCTCTGTTGTCAGTGAATTTGTCTTTGGAACATATTTGAAGATGCCTGTAGGAACCCCATTTCTATTTGATTTTGTGATCACATGACTTCTGTTGTAAATTAAGATACAGAATTTTCAGAAACTACATTGAAACTGGCTTCCATTGCTGTTTGTTACCGTTCTTGTCTTCAGCCAAGTTACAAAAAAAGTGGTCAGGCTGGCAGGGAAGGATTGAAAGCAATAATTTCTCTGTTCATTTTTCTTTTGGTTCGTCACATTTTTCAGCAGCACTAAATTATAATAGTATATGAAATGCAGGGGTTCGTGATCTGTAGCTGTCTTCAGTGGTGGAAATCCACACTGTGCCTGATGATCACATATGCCAGGGCAGCTGTTCTGGCAATTACTGTAACTGAAACATTAGGCCCATACTGGCTCATGAATTTGTACCATCTTTTGTTTAAAGGTAAAACTTGCTCAACATCAAGGAAATGGTCATCAGATTGCTTTAAGAAATTATTAAGAGTTTACATTGCTTTTACATTTTTATATTCTGTTGTATTTCATTTGACATTTCCCCTATCCTTATGTGTTTGAAATTTAACTAGGTCTAATTTCTGGGCCATAAGGAAAAGCTTTTAAAAGTACTAAATCTAATATGTAGTTAGAAAGCAAGTAAAAGCAATTAAAAGCAGAGCTTTTATTTTACTGCTTTGCTCTTCTGGTATTGATACTGCTTTAACAAAAAATGGCAGTTGTGAATCTCCTTTTTAAAATATTTGGTATTTCTTTTGGTCATCCTGTTGTTGTCTTTAATCACTAATTAAAATTAAAATGTATTCATGTTGCACAGGTTACTGTGACCATTTCCTTCTGTTTATAAATAACATCAGGACAGTTGGTTTGAAGTCCTAGAATGATTGCCCATGCCTTGTGTGGATGTTAATGGTTCCCTTTAGTTGTAGTTCCTCCTGCATACCTGTGATTTGAAGTGGAGTCTGGCTGTAGAACTTCATTGCACACTGTGGTGGATTTCTTTGGGTTTCCCTGTGGTAGATAACCAGAATAAAATGTTGTTGAAGAAGTGTAATCACTGGCCTCTCTGAAAAAATAAGTTTTATGTTAGTCAGAACCCCTTGCTCTTCTCACAAGGATAGCTCCATTTGTTACAAGGGAGATTACTTTTAGAGCTGTTGTTAAGCTTTCAGGCTTGGCTAATGACTTAGTTTCAGTCTTCATTGCTTCTAAATCTCATTTTTCTCCAAATAGTTTCTTGTTTTCTCCTATACTGTCCCTTACAATGTTGGTGCTGTCAAAGGGAGAGAAAACCCCAAAACATCCTCTCCAACTACTGTTCAATTTCTCTGTTGTGAAGCCACAAGGTACTTGAGAAGCATCAGGCAGCTGCTGTGACCTCTTCCTCTCACAACCTTCGTGTCATTGCTGCCTTATGCTCCCTTCCTTGTGTTGTTTTCTTGTTGTGGTCTCAAATGTGCCCTGAGTCTGTAATATTACTGTTAGCACATAGGATCTCTGAAACATTTGAAGTTAAGACTACGTTTAAGTTAAGCACCAGAGTGTTACAAATAATAATGGTTATGGGTAAAGTAAGCAGAACTTGACTAATGCAGACTTGTACCCTGGAGTTTCCTCTCAGACCATTGGCATTTATTTGTGTATTTAAATGTTTAATAACAGAATTCTCTTAAAATATCCTTATTTGGTTCATGCAGAGTTCTGGTTGGGCACTCCCTGTATCTGCAGTTGTTTCTGGCACAGGGAAATTTTTGTGACTTCAGTGCTAGACCTAATGACTGCGTGCAGCATGTGCAGAGGGTGGTGTAAGTCTGAGCTGGAGCCTCCTGACTCCTTTAGTGTTGTGGCTGCCTTTTCTCACAGTTGTTCTTTGCATCACTTCTTCCTCTCTTCCCTCTCTTTCTTTCCTCACTGTCCCTGACAGAATGGCTTTGAGCCTCTCTTTGTGTTTGAGATTGACAATAACACCAATACCATTAAAAGGAGGCCAGGCACTCGCAAACAGGTGAAGAGCATGCGGTGTGTTGGTGTTGTGATTGTCCCTCCTGTGCTGTGCTGTGTCCCCTTCCCTGTGCCCACTGCTGGCTGTGTGCATACTGACCCCTTCTTCTTAATCTGTCTCAAGCTTGCCCTGCTCTATTCATACAGGAATAAGCAGATGCAATGATGTTACAGAGCACCTAGTTCTGGTTTATTTTAATGTTCTCATGTGCTAGCTAATGTGTTGTCTAAGACAAGTGATATTTGAAACTCTTAAAAAAAAATCCCACCATTTGGCTCTGCCCTGCTCTGGACAAAGAGGCAATCTTGAGGACCAGCTGTAAGTCTGTACAGGGCCTAAAAACATTTGTGTTTAAGGCTTGCCCTGAGTGTAAACCTTCCCTTCTAGTCCTTCTGGCTGTGCTGGTCTGAAGTGGCAGAAAAGTTGCAAATGTTTTAAGAACTAACTCCCAAGTGTGTCTTTCACTACCTGTAGAGTTTCTAGGTGTCATTTGATGTTCTTTCTGGTGCTGAACTGTCACTTGGCTATTTGAATGCTGTTTCAGAAAGCATAGTGAGCCATTCAGTCCTCAAATGTTGAAGTTCTGATGGTGCTTTCAGTGAGACACAGGATTTGGCCTCCTAGATCTGCCTGTCAGTGACAGATAGGCACAACCCCACAGCCCCTGTTCTATAAACAGGAAAAGTTATTTATTTGGCTAGTTTTGATACTGGTCATAATTGAAATGTGACTGCACTTTATTTGTGGCAACACTGTAAATCCTGACACTGACATCTTCCCCAAGAGTGAGATTCTACCCACAGAATCTCATCTACTTTGTGTGTAATCACAAGGACCAGTTGTTAGTGTTTGTGGCAGATACAAAGTGTGTTACTGAGCCTCCTGTACATGGGTTTCCCTGATTTTTCAGACATGCATAACATCCTCAAAACACTACAAAGGAAGTTGTTTATTTTTAATGATGGCCTAGAACGGACCATTGTAGGGTAAAATTTCTTTTTTCTGACGGCACAGGTATTACTAAAGAAACTTTTGCCTCACTTACTGTTCTTAATTCTGTTTTTAATGTCACTGTATTATACGTAAAAGAAGCACTATACCTCCCAGAAAGTCCAGGAGGGTAGGAAGTAACTAACTAAACTATAGTTCAGCCAGTATTGATGTGCTGCTTGTTGAGTGTTTCTGAGAATGTGATTGTGATCACCTCTTCATTTTTACTTCCACCTTTGTGTGCGATCTGTCAGCTACTCACTAACTCTGCTACTGCCTTCTCTTTCTTTCTGCATTCAGTCACTCTCAGGGTTGAACCAAGAAAGCTGTGCTACTACCCTGCCTTGTGCCTCTACCTTCAGTCCTGTCAAGGTATCTCTTGCTATTATCATTCACCACTAGAGCCAACAAAAAAATCTTGGATCCACACATCGGTTTAAACAGGTGTTAGTCTGTCAGCATCTAATCAAAAGTTCAGGTAGGGCATGAACCTGATTCCCCTGATTAAACTTTAGTATGTATTACCTCATCTTAGCTTTAGGCTGTGTCTGCAGGAGGCCTGATCTATAAAATATGGTAACCAATCTCTGCTCCAAGGGGTTCTTGGTTGTCTTTGATGTTGCTTTTTCTGCACAAGATCATTTACTCTTGATCAAGTTGAGTTCATCAAAAGTACGCTTGTATTCTTTGCCTGTTTCTTTCTTTTCTGTGGAAACTGCTGTGCTGAATTCATTCCTCACAAGAATTCATTAGTCTGTGTAAGCACTGTGATCAAACCACAGTGTGTTTCACTGGGGACAGATGTTCAGTAAATAGCAGTTCTGCATTAGCAAAGGTGTCAAAGAGGAGTGTCCTAGTTGGGGCTGCTGTATTGCCAATTCTGCATGTTGCTTAATACCTGTTTTTTGCTGTCCCCTTTGCAAAGAGCACTTCTCAGTTTGAGTTGGAAGGAAAAGTTAACAATGATCTGTCATTGCACAGTGAGTGCTGTTTCATGATTCTTTTTCCTAAGGAAAAAGAGCAGCTGTGTCATTTCTGTAAAAGAAAAAAACTTAGTCTCTGCAGAGATAAGACTTGGGGAAAAAACGTACAGTGGTTTTTCTTATTTCTGGTTATTTTTCTGAAACACATTTAGATGGATGGAGCTTTTCTTAAAACACAGCAAATTAAAATGTAGTCAAAGTTTTCTAGATTAGGACCATTCATATTCTTCTGCTTTTTTGTTCACAGAGTGATGACAGATCTACCATCTCCCCTGGCTCACCTACCACTCAGACAGGTAACAGGGACAGGAAAAAAAATCTGGAAAATAAGATTAAAAAGCTTGCTTGCTTATTTGTCCTATGAAGAAAGGGGAGCATCTGTTCCCACCTCTGTCTGTGGCACTGCTGTGTGTGAGAATTTACCCAGTTACTTGGGTCTCCTTAGAAAAGCACAAGGGAAGAGACAAAAGGGATGAAGCATGTCCTTAGGCACAGAGCACAGGGTTTGGCTGGTTTAGGCCTTCAGAGAGACTTTGGCACACAGATACATTCAACAAGAGTCAGAACAGTTGTTGGAATTGGTATGTGGAATGTGCTTTGCATGCAAGTGTCCTTGGAAGTGCCTTTTCCTGCTCTGCTTTTATCATGCATGGCTGTAATTTATTTTGTCATCATTACATTAAAATTTTTGGTTTGTTCTTTTAATTACCACATTGCTGTACCCATTTCCTATTTAACTCTAACCATTTCCTTCTTCCTCCTTCCTTTCCTGTGCCTTTCCACATTTGTTTAGTCCACCTTTCCCCTCCATATCCTGGCCATGCAGCCCCGCCTTCCTATAGAAACCCTTCCCAGCGACCCGAGAGTTTCCTTTTCCGAACAGCTGTCAGGGATGGAGCCAAGAAAGGTAGGTTGTATAGCTCAGAAATCAGCTAGTTTTGCTACATATATTGACATCTGCATTACCTGAGGCTTGCCTTGTTTTGTTACTTCAGGTCTTTATCATCAAACTACTTCTAGAATTCCATTTGTAGACAGATGACATCAGATATGCTGTGAACAAACAGGGTTTTATTTGGAGCTGCCCACTATTCTTTTGTCATACCTGTACAAGTGTGAGAATTGGCTCATCTTGGTCTGCACTTACACCTTTGCCACACAAACCTTCAACAACTTGATAATTCTTGCATTGCCCAGTAGCCTGTAACAGAATTCCAATTGCAATTCTGTCTTTCTGGAGAAAGACAGAACCATTTCAACATACTGCATGTGGCAGAACTTTGTCATCACTTGTGCATGACTATTATCTAACAGAAAGATCAGAATCTAAACAGTGAGGGAATTGTGTTGACATCTCATTTAGGTTGGTAGACCATTAGTTTGATTAATAATCAAAGGTAAGAAAGAGATTTGTGAAAAGGAATGTAACGTACCCATTCTGGAACTTTGTGTGCAATGCAGTAGCAAACAACACAAAGCCAAACTGTGCTTAGTGATTTTCTTTCCTTCATGCTGCTGTTTTAGCTGTTGCTTCATCCTCTACCTGTGCCTTGTCTCCTGCTAATGATTCTGCAGACCCTCGAGTGAGACAGAACTCCAAACAGCGGGAGGAGGAGCTGGAGCTGATAGAGCAGCTACGCAAGGTCAGTGCTGCCAGGAGCCAGAACATGGACATAGCAGGAAATGCACTTTGTGACCCTACTAAATCTGCCTTTGTCTTATGGACAAGTTTCACTGAACCAATATGGGGCACAGTTGACCAAAATGAAATGGTGTGCTACAGTCTGTGCACTTCTTTCAGATGGGTGCAGTGGTGTTCACTTGGTTGTTTGTTGTGGGTAGAGTCAGCTTGAAATTCTGTATAATAAATTAAGTCAAGTCCTGCTCTTAAATGTCTGGTGAACTCTGTTTTATGTGTGTTTCCTTTCTTCCTTATCAGCTTTCACACTTGTAAGGAGCTCCCTGGAAAGTTGCCTTTACTGTCTCCTATTAATGCCTTTTTTAAAATTCTTTTTGCTATAAAGCTGACAGATGAACAGATGGAGCGCAGAGACTGCTGCCAGTCATGCTGCCATCATGGTTTCCTCATGTGCTCTAGATCTTTCTGTTGATTCTTGCCTTATCCTTAGTTAAGTGAACACTTGAGCCACTAATATTTCTAATATTTATGCTTTTTGTCTGCCCAGGGGCACCACACTCCTGGTTTGTGCCCAGGTACAATGACAATAAACAGGAATATTGGAAATGCCACATGGCTTTAAGGTACTGCTCTGCTTTGCCCCAGACTTGTTTCTGCAGAACATGAAGGGATTTCTTGAGGTGCTGTAATTAATTGTTGAATTTTCCCAATAAATAAGAATATACTTACCAAAGCTAATCTTAAAAGCCATAAACATTCCAGATAAAAAAAAATTCCCTCTCTTTGGGGGGAAGTTTTGAAGTAAGGACAGTCTCCTTTCGCTAAAGGAGAAAGGCAACTGTGTTAGATAAAACTTGGTGGTGTTGGCAGACCCTCTCTTATGTTATCTCAGATTGCTTTCTATGTAGTCTGTCTCTTTTTCTGCTCCCCAGGTAAGCTTAAATTTTTTTTTAATACTTACATTTTGTACAGTATTACAAGTTGGTGATATTCACACAGCATTTTAAATGAGTTTGAAAGCCTAAATTGAATTTTTATTCATTCTCTTAAACAAATGCTAACTGCCTTCTTTTTAAAGGACTGCTTATGCCAAATAGTTCAGTTTTTATTTTAAAGGCAAAAATATTGTCTTGACTTTTGTAATTGTGTTATCCTCCAGCCCACAAAGACAATTATTTTCACTTCCCTTGGCAGAACCATTCTCTGAGAATATGTACAGTTAAGAATACTGTTCCTAGAGCCTGATTTCCATTATTTTTGAATAATGGTTGCATTAGTCCACTGTGCTGTACACTGAAAGCTGTTCTTCGTTGAACTCAGTTGCTCCCAGACTGTGGCCAGCCCTGGCCACAGTAATGCGCAGGGCTTTCTTCGGGGTTATTCAGCAAGCTGGTTGGAAATGCCATCAGGACAGACAGAGTTGTAGTGCAGGAACTGTGCAGAGTTCCCTGCAGGAGCTCTGAGCCCCCGTGTGTCCCTGTTGGTGTCCCACAGAACATCGAGTCGCGGCTGAAGGTGTCCCTGCCCAGCGACCTCGGCGCGGCTCTCACCGACGGCGTCGTCCTGTGCCACTTGGCCAACCACGTGCGGCCCCGCTCTGTCCCCAGCATCCACGTGCCCTCGCCTGCAGTTGTAAGTGTGCAGCAGTGACACTGCTTTATGGTGTCCACAGTGATAGCCTGCAAAGCCCTGTCATCCAGACAGACACTAAAATCAGCATTCTCCTCAGTGAATGTACGTGACAAAAGATGACCATCTGTGCTGTTTAAAAAAGGTCTGGAGTGTCACTAAATGAAATTCTGTTTGGGTTTGTTTCATTTAAAGGAAGTTACTTCTAACAGCTTGTAAGCAAATGCTAACATTTTCATGTGCTCCCTAAGCACATTAACTTCAAAATTAGTGAAATATGAGACAGTTCAGCATGAAAACTAAAATAGGATATTTTAAAAGATCAAAATTACTGAGAAGTTCAGGAAAACGTAACAACAAGTAGGATTCCACTACACAAGACAGTGAAACCAGGCAGAGACCAAGTTGATTCCTGTGTCCACAGCACTACAAATTCCTCTGCTTAGGAATTTTAGCAGAACACGCTCAAGATACTTGGAGAACGGCATCTCCTGGAACAAAACGAATCCTGTCATACCTTTGTGATAACAGGAAAAAATGGTGGCTTTGTCAGGGGACTGTTGAGGAAGTATTGCAGGGAAGTATTGCAGACTATTTGGTAGGGAAAGCACAGAATTAGAGAAAGGTCAAAATCTGTGAGATACCAACAGATTGTTTATCCCGTTTATGTTTGTGGAAGTCAGAAAGTTCAGTGAAAATATTTAGGATCAGCTACTTGAAAGTAATATGGACAGGCAGATTGCTTGTTGTGCACCTTTAAATTGCATGAATAAGGAAAAAAAACGGAGATTGTTCCTTGGGGAAGAAGTTGAAATGTGCACGTAGTCTTCACTTATCCTTCTTTTGGAGTGAGTCTTCGTGTTGATTGGAATCTGAACTGGCACTTCCAGGGCTGCCAAGTGTGTCATTGTGTCCCTGGGACTGGATGTGACCAGGCAGATGGCCCCGTTATTTTGAGAATGACTGAGCTGGACACACCAACACTTTAGGCAGATTATGGGATCATTCCAAGCAAAGACAGGGAGCCACTGCTCAGGAGACTTGCATCAGTGAGACCTTTTCAATGGCCTGGTTTGATGTGCAGCTGAATGTTCTGTGTTAGGAATTAAATTGTGGCTTTGTCATGTGAATCCCAAGGAAGAGGCAGCCTGGAGTCGCGTGGCTCCAGGAGCAGAAGAGGCATCACGTCATGCCCAGGCACAGTGTGATCTTTGTGCTCCCTTGGTCCTTGGGGAGCAAGAAGCCAGTGCTGCCTTTAACCTGCTTCCTTGGTAGGGAACACAGTGCAAGAAGGGGACAGAGGAAACCCCATCACTTCCAGAAGTGTTGAACACCTGGAGGCTGCTGCCTGCTGCTCCAAAGCATGTTCATAGGAGCAGAGAACTTGTGTCTCTTGAACCAGAAGAGAATAAGCTTTGAGAGCAGGAACAAGACAGACCCTGTGCTGTGGTATGTCTGAAGAGGTGTGAAAACTGACTGCAGAAAAAAACCTCACTTGAAAAAATGCCAGTGAGTGCAATTCAGACAGCTCCGTTCAACACATCTACAAGAGGCTGACAAGCAGCAAGCGCTTCACTTCCAGTTTTCTGACACTATTTTTTTATTTCACCAAGCCTTTATTTTTTTACCACTTTGTTAATTGAAGTATGGTTTAATATTTATATAGTTTTACATTATAGTAATCCAAAACAGATTCTAGATTGCTTTATGTCATGAAATTGCTCTGAAATCACAGTATGGAAGCCATGGATGTGCATTTCATCAAAAGACATTTTTTAAATGATTATAACATAGTCACTAAAAGTGTTAGCCAGTTTTATATAACACAGTGTATATAAATATTGCAGGGCTTAGAACTGTCCTTTTTTTAAAATCATCCAGCATTCATAACTTAGCTTTTCATAAAACAGCTTTGAAAACTGGGATGGTTTTCTAAGAAAAGCAAACTTCAGCAGAGCCTGCTTTGAATTAGACGAGCTTATGTCAGCACAGTGTTTTTGGCAAAGAAATTTATTAAGAGTTTTATTTAAATAAAATGTAAAATCTTTTAAAACCTTGCCAGTTAAGAACACTGTATGCCTTTGCTTGTTTGCAGCCTAAACTTACAATGGCAAAATGCAGACGAAACGTTGAGAATTTCTTGGAAGCTTGCAGAAGGATTGGAGTGCCTCAGGTATGTATTTCTGATGTCCTGATATGTTTTATATGCATTTTTGCCTGGTGCTTCAGAAAATAAAACTTTATTTGAAATATTGGATTAAAACAAAATAATTAAAAGTTTAAAAGGTTCAGGAACAATCTGTCCTGCAGTATAGATCAGACTTACCTTGCATGGCCTTCCAGAGCAAAATGAAGCCAGGTACAGTTGATCAGAGTGTAGTATATAGATTTTATATTTCAGTATAGATTCACTTAAATACTGTACATCAAATTCATAATAGCTGATGGACTTTGAGTCTGCCTTTAGAACTGGCAGGTTCTATAAAACCAGTTACATTTTCTCAATATTAGGTATGGGACAGCTTAAAAGTAGGATAAAATCTGGATGATGGTTTGCATGTAGGTTTTTTTTTTTTATCCCAAAGCTTTTCATGTTTCTTCCCAATAATTCCCTTACATAGATGTCTTTACTGTCTTAACATCAAGTCACAGCATTATTGGCCTTTCTCTGATGGTAGCTGTCTTTGCATAGTTCCTCCTTTTGTTATGTACCAATAGTAGAAGTCTGTCTTCCTTGTTCCCTTTTGAAACTGGTAAGATCTAGGAGGTGGACAGATAATAAATAGTCCATCTTATCCTGTTGGTCCCAGTTATCCTGTTTTATGCTGTCCTGTCCTTTGCACTTTGTCTTATTCAGCAGCTTTCTCAATACAAATAGTTTTAATATATTTTTCCTAATTTCCCTTCCAGTGCACTAATTGATTTGGGTTTTTACATTGGTGAGCATTGGTGTTTCTGTTGTAGGTGCTGGTTTCTTTTGTATTCTGAGAGGGAGAAGTAGACCCCATGACTCAATTCCGAGCTACATCTAAAGTCAGTTCTTGAGTCAGTCATGCAGGATTTTCTGGTGTTTTCAGATCACTTGCAGACGTTTGAGCCACTGGGATTTTAGGATGACTTATTTATTGAGCTGCCTGGCAGTTTCACATGGCTCAGTGGTGAATTGTGTTAGAAGGGGCTAGGGAGTTGTAAGTGATCCTTAATGCTGGGAGATCCTGCACTGCTTTGTCCCCTAAAAACCTTTGGACTTTCAATCCCAGCAGAACTGCACAATATAAATTCATCTGGGGCATTGTGCAATTCCATCCCAGCTTCCCTATTTATAGCTCCCTCAAGTATGAAGATGTCATTTTTATGGGATTGCAGTACAAAGAACATCACTGGAATGACCCACAATCAAAACCAAGCAAACACAAAGGCCAGTCAAGAAAAAGTCCCCTGTAAACCCAGGCTGCTCCATCTGCTACCCCTGCTGTGTAGGGCTCTCCTGTTTCCTCATATATCTTGTTTTAATGTGAAAGAGTTCAAGAAGTTCTCTCTGGGAAAACTTAGTAAAATACCCCCCCTGAACCCAGAGCTGCTCTCACATGTCTGCATTACATCTCTGCTGAGATGTGAACATAAGATACCTGTATGGTACCAGAATGGCATGGCAGCCTGGTATGTTTTTCTTGAAAAGTTGCTTGAAGGTTTTTCATTTCATTTCCATTCTAATTACAAAAAATAATAGGCTTTCTGAAAGCATGGATCCATGTAGGAATACCTGCCTTTTAAGGGGAAGGCTACTTTCAGAAAGAGCTAATAACAGGCACCACAGCAGAGCAGCAATTTCCTTGGGACTTTGGTGGTTTTAAAGTCCTTGGATCAAAGGAAACCCTCAGCTGAACAGGTTGATCCATCCATCTAGATTTCACTGATTATTAGCAGTTACCTGTGGGAAAGGGAGACGAGAGACACACAATGGGAATACTTACAGAACTCTTAAACTAATTAGTAATAGATATTTCTGCAGGATGCTGCATTCAAGCATCAGTTACACATAAATTATTCCTTGTCCTGCTGTTTTCATTAAGTTACATGTGGAGGCTGAACTGTGGTGAGTACTCACTCAATGCCAGCAGCATCTCAGATACCTGTAACCTCTTCACTTCTGGAGAAAAATGGGTTTCACTAAGGCTTGTGTAAGCTGCTGTTTTTAACAACAAGGAATAATTACATGTGGGAGCTGGAGAGGTGACAGGCACCTCACTGCACACTAAACACTGACCTTGAATTCTTTGCAATGGGAGTCTTGCAGATTTCTATGTGAGAATTAACCAGCTGTGATGTGCTTCTCAAATGTGTAGGTTGTATCTGAGATGTCTGATAACTGCTTCGTGGATGTTGCTATGGCTAACTGACTGACCTGTTTTTTTCTGTCTGTTTTCCCTTCCTGCTCACACACTCTGGACAGGACAATCTTTGTTCCCCTTCTGACATTCTCCAGCTAAACCTCAGCGTTAAAAGAACAGTTGAGACTCTTCTTTCCCTGGGGACAGATTCAGAAGAATCCAGTCTTGTGTCCCTTTCCGTTCAGCTCTGGGGCTTTGTGGTGTTTTACTGTACTCTAATGCTAACGCTCTGTATGTTCTATCGCTGGGTCTTTTTTCTCTAGTGAAGGATAGTGGTGCTGCTTCCTCCCTCCATCACTCCAGTGCTTGGGAACAGATTCTGGGCTTTGCCAAGACTGTGTGTATGAAGTGCTTTGTTTCCCACGGATGGGACAGAGGTGACAAGTACAATGTACAAACACGTTGGTGCACCCATGGCACTGTCCGTGACCCAGTTCCCATTTGTATTTGCTGTGTCATGTTGAGCAGATGAAATGCCTTCCAAGGGAGGAGCTGCTGTCCCTGGGCTCCAGCGAGGGCTGAGGTCAGGACATGTGGTGCATGCTGGAGTCTGCTGACCAGTGGTGTTGTGAAAACTGCAGTGTCAGTTTGTGCCTCTGTTCCCCCATCTGTGTAATGGGAAATGCAACCACTTTGGTAAATTGCTTGAGGATTATCTGATGAAAAATGTTAAACAATGTGAAGTTTTTTTTCAATGTCAATGTTCTTGATGTGATCTCACAGTCTTAGGAGACATGGTCTGGTGTCATTCACAGAACTTTCGAACTGGTTTGTTTTTTTACCCACAGTCCTTTTATCCTGCTTCTAAGAGCATTTGATTTCTCAAATTTATAGACTCTGCTGTATTACTTTGATTCAGGATTTTGAAAACAACTTTCAGTGAATCCTGAGCTACTTGAACATTATAACAGTTCAAGCAGAAAAATTTCAGAGAAATTAAGCTCTTCAACAGCTTTAAGAGAAGTTTTCTGTCAGAGAAAGAAAAATCTTTATGATCCTGTAAGGTGCTACAGAATGTCACAGCATTTTACTGTGATCTGGATAAGACCAAAAACTTGTTGAATTGTCCCTTGATCTTGGGCACTCCAACCCAAGCTTGTTCCATGCTTATTCCCTTCTTCCTCTTATCCTGTCATTTTCAGAAACACTTGTATCATGTAATTGCACAAACATAAGGCCTGGCTGCACTCTTCACTGTTTTACAAAACTCAGGTAGTCTTCCATAAAGCTTCACAGCCTTTCCCTCCCCAGGGAAAGCACCCTGGTGCTTTAATGCTTTAATGTCTCAGGGACACCTCAGAACTTCAGGGCACTCCTGTGTGTGTAACAGACCATGTCTCCTCAGAGTGGAGATCCATTCAGGGAGCTCTGCTCAGACACCAGTGACAGGTAAGTGTTCAGGAAATGGCTGTTCCAAATCTGTCTTCAATAAATTTTGTTATATCTGCAAGTGCAGTAAATGGCTTGGAAGCCCAGTGCAAGTGGTGTTGGTATTCCAGCCATATCCTGGAACACCTCTGAAGCACAGTTTAAGGTACACAGGAGTTCAGTTGCAAATGTGGTCACTACCAGTAAAAATGTGTTATGTGTATGTGGGTCTCACAAGCTCTTGTACCATGAAGTGAGTTTTTATCAAAGCAGCAAGAGCTGCTGCCTTCTGTCCAAGTCACACAAAGTGTTCTGTCCAAGCCAAACATCACTGAGTAAAGAAGGGACTTTTGACAGGGGGAGATTGTTTTACTTTTAAGTAAGCTATTTTTGCACTGCTTACTGGTATGAACTAAAATGAACTCAGTTCCTGTGTTTTTTAACTTTTAATGAACACTGTGATAAAAGCTGCAAGGAGTTTTACACTAACAGTGCCTTCCAGTTTTTAAATTTTGTTTGTCATTACTGTCTGCGGTATGGAATCATTCCAAAGCTTTTCCCCCCTTATCTGTTTGCATACATAAGAAAAAGATAAGGCATATTTACTCAAGTTTACAAGTATTTTCTGAAAAAGCACACTTTTTTCAAAGTAATATACATTTGCTGGAAGAAAAATGTATTTTAGCCTGAGCATATGGCTTTCTATGAGAATTGCAGTCGGGGCTCATTTGTTTTCTCTCTGCTCGGAGCTTTGAGGGAGGAGTGTTGGCTGCCACTGTTTGTGCTGAAGGATTTCTTTAACCTCAAAAATCAGTAAAGACTCAAGGAGTGGAGAAATGCCAGTTGATGTGGAAATGACACATGAAAAATAGTCTCTGTAGCTCTATAGGAAGGACACACTTGGGTTATTTTCTGCGGATACAGAGAACTGTTGGACATGTATCCTGACTGTTGTGGAGTGAGGATGGCCAGGAGGTGCCAAGGACTTCTGTAGGATGAGGCTTTAAATACATCTTAGACTGAGAATAGCACAACTGTTAATAAACACTTTGAAACCTCTTTTTGCATGTTGTGTATTACTGTTACTCCTCAGGATGATTTTGGGGGCCACCCACTAAGCGGGGGCACTTTGGGGAGGTGAGTGAGTGGCAGTGACTCATTCCCTGCTCCCCAGTAGGGCGTCCCTCCTGGCTGTAGCTGAACAGGCTTGTCCCAGGAGGACTCTCTCCAGAAGGTGATTTGGGAAGGAAGCTGTGGTTCCTCTCCTGCTCTGTGTTGTAGCACATTGATCGTATTGAAGCAACCCCCTCCTCAAGTTCACCTACTTTGGTTTCATAAACTGCTGCCATCTCAGTGTGGGCAGAGATGGAGGAAGATTTGCTATTCCCCTTTTCTCCCACAATCCTTTTTCAAATTCCTATTTACAAAGTTTTCTATTAAAAGAACACGAGGGATTAGCCCAAGGCCACCTTTCTTGAGTAGTCAAGGTCATGGTTCCTTTGCCACAAGCAGAAATCTCATGTCCTACCCCTATGTGTGTGTGCTGCCTGTCCATAACATTTCATATTTCAGTCACCTTTTGCTTAATTTTTTTTTCTTTTCAGTTGAGTGGTTTTCATCCATTTTGTTTTTGTCTTTGTTTTGTTCCCCATTCAGGAGCAATTATGTTTGCCTCTGCATATTTTAGAAGAGAAGGGTTTGACACAGGTAGCTGTGACTGTCCAGGCGCTCCTGGAGCTGGCACCCCCAAAGCAGCAGCCACTGCACCACTTGTCTGCTGTGTAAAGACCTCCGGGACCTTTTGGGTTACCTTGGCTAAGCAGAAGGACCTGAAGACTTTACTGCCCATGCAGTGCATCCAAACACACAGAGCTCTGTTCTAAGGAAATGAGTTTCCGTGATTCCTGACAGGAATGTTTTACTGCATTTCTCCATTTTTTGGAGATCACAACAGTTTCCAGGAACATTTTTATTACCAATCTTTTTGCCCCTTATTTAAAAAATGAGAGTTCATTGGGAGGAGAGCAGGGACTTCTAGTGGCTGGCTGTTGGAGCCAGCTGTAGAAATGGACCTTGCAAGATGAAGAAATGGGTTTAGGGTCTGGAAAGCAATTCCTAGGGGAATTTGTGGGGAAAAAAAAAAAAAAAAAAAAAAAAAAAGGATGTTGTTGCAGTGGGCACACAGGGAATTAAATTACTTTCCTTACCCACAGGGTGCAAAGAAATGAAATTTCTTTGCCTCCAAAGAATGGGTATTTCTGTTACAATATTTTTTAAATTGCATCACACAATCTTAACCTGCAGTATTTGATAATGGTCAAGCTTCACACAGCTGTTACTTGCCTTGGTAGGTCCTCATCACTAAAAGTTAAAGAAAAATTTTTTTTTTTTTCCCAATGGAAAAATTACTACATGTAAACACCTTAGTAAAAGATACTAAGATATGTTCAAATGGGATTAATCCCATCAGCATTCTTGCTGGGTTCACTTTCTGTTTGGGTTTTAACGTGTCTTTATCTGAACACGTTTCCAACAGCAGTGGAGGGAGATTGCCCCTGTCCTCACATCCCCTTCCGGTGGTTTTGTGGGATCGCCAGAATCCCGTGCACTTCCCTGCAGTGGGAACGGTGCCAGCCTGCCCTGCTGGTCATTACAAGTCCTCCCAGCAAACGCATTTATGAGGGCCTGAAGCATCCCCTGCAGGCACAGAATGGATCACGTTAAGAGCACAGTTCTCAAGTTCCCCAGGCGGGCTGGGTGTTGTCAGAGCAGCTCTGTGCTAAGGCAGCTCTGAAGGGTTAGACAAGGCTTTCAATAAAGCCCTTTATTAGTTGGAGTTTATATAGAGAGATGTGCTGGTTTTACAGAACTGCTGTTACTTGATTCCTCTTTCCATAACATAATAATGGAAATTCACAGTACAGCAGTGGGAGAGGCAGCTGACAAATTTTGCATTTTCCTGGAAAGCTGATGTGCAAAATAAAGACAGATCTCTATGCTCTGGTCCTAGTGACAAGGCCAAGCTTGCTACCAAATCAATTAACAATTCTTTCCCCCCCACCCCCTAAAAAGGCCTCACAGAACCCAGTTTCCACCCATGTGGTTCCTTTGTCCCTGAACATAATGCTACTAATACATGGTACATGTTCTGAAAGCAACTCCAGGCATCAGCCACATTCTGTCTGAGATATATTTGAAGCAGAATAGAGAGGGGATTTTATGCGGATAAAGGAAGAAGAAATGGAAACAAATTAGCTAAAAGTCATTTTTGCAGAAGTAAAATCTGCTGTGGGACTGCCAAGGACTGGTCTTAGCTGTATTTTCCCCCTTTTGATTTGCAGTTTTGTTTCCATTTTGTTTTGCTTCATGTATTTCTTTCAAGGGTTGTTGTGGGTGATTGTTGAATCCCCTATTTCTCATAATTATTCCAGTTGCTTCTTACTGGCATTGGTTGGTCACATTTCAAGTGAAGAACACCTGGGAGGTGTTTAGGAGTGCCCAGCTGCAAAGAGAAACCTCCTCATGCTGGGCAAATGCAGTGCCCTGAGTCCTGCAGGGAATGGAGGTGCCAGGAACTCACAGCACCCACAGGAAGAGCAGCTCCACACAGGCATTCTCACCCCCTTAAGCGGTTTTTGTGTTTCACTTGATGCCATTGGTGAGGAGCCTTGGTCATTCCCACAGGGTTACACAGAGGTGTCTGAAGTGTCTGCTGCAGTTTGCTGGGGGGGAGATGCTGCCACTCACAGGCAACACCACACAGACACAGTCAGAGTGTTCCTGGTGTGTTTGTCTCTGCACGTAATTTGAGAGGGAGGAAGGCACTGACTTCTTCCTGGTGTCCCACATTGGGTCACCTGTTGTTACAGGGACAGTTGCATTTACCAGCACACCCATCATGGGCTGTTTAAATACCCCTGTTTGAAGAAAACAATTCCCTTCATGGAATTGTGAGGGTGTGGTGATTGCTCCTGCACTTAAGGAAAGTGAAACTTAGCAGTATTCAGGTTGGTGGAAATTTTGTCATTTAATTAACAGTAGTTTTTATTGGGGTGGGGTCTTGAGTCTGGCCTGCAAGAACGAGCCATTTCCTATTGCCATGTGTGGCTCACAACCTGAGTGGCTCATGGCCACCTGTGGCTGGAGGCCAGGCAGGCAGAAGGTCCCTGGCACCAGGTACTTTGTTGTGAGCAACATTCACTCTGGAGTTTCAGTGTAGGTAATTGTGTTAGTTTGACATTTGTAATCTTAGGTTTTCAGGCTGGCAAGCACTAAATCTTGTCCAGATGCTTTGGACAAAAATCCAAACCTGAAGTTTCATCATGCGGTTTATTTAATGTGTTATAAAACCCACTTCAGTTCTCTCTTGCAAAATGGGTTGGGATTTTTCAGTAGTTATGTGCAATTTTTGTTGTATCCCATGAAAAGAGTATTTGAAAGAAAACATGTATAAAGTTCTATTCTGTGTGTTAAAGCAAAGAAGAGATGCTCTTTCCTCTTTGGGGCATTTGTGCTGGAGGATGTGGAAGGGATCCACCTCAGTGTTCCGTGCTGCTGGTGTTCCTACACTGACTCCATGGTGCCACACTCCATCCTCAAACCTGGCGAGCCTTGGGCACTCTCTGAGGCTCTGCAAGGTCCCACACTCCAGGTGGAGCAGCCCAGGCACTCAGGAGCCCCTGATGGCACTGGGGGGCCAGGGCAGAGCAGCTGGGGGTTCCCCTTTAGAAGGAGAGGCTTTTGTAAAGGCCCTGCTTAAATCCACCAGGGACAGCTCTTCACAGCACCAGGGCACCTCTGTTGTCCTTGGTAGCAGCGGGATAGCAAATGGTATTCTTACCCCTTTATGACTATAAACAGAGGACTTGTAAGGTGAATTTGGACATCAGAAAATTCTTTTGTATAGATATTGTGATGTTCTACAAAGTGATCTAATTTTGTTATTTCTGAAAACAGTGTAAACGTGTAAGTAATAGAGTAAAGGATTTTAAAGCTTCATCCCATGCTGTATGTCTGTAAATACATTCCATCATTTCTGTTACATATAAATGTGTCTGAATATTGTATATTTTAAATCGCCTGTATTCTGCCAGTAGTGTGAACTTCTAGCACATTGATAATATAAAAGGAAACCATGGGTATGTGAAATAAAGTTCTAAAACTTATGTGAATTGCAGTATTTCTTCTTGCTGTTTTCCTGTTGCACCAACAAATGTCACATCCTCTGTGTCAGGTGTTTATTCCCCTTCCACATCAACCCAGTTCGCATTAGATGGACCTGTTTGATTTTCTACTTTTCAAAGTTAACCAGGACAGGAAAATCACGGTATTTTTACACATATTTTGCAGTGACATCAGAAGCTTCTTCCTAGGTATTTTTAGCCTTCCCAGAGACTGATTTTGTACAGAATCCTTTGCTCATCTCTCTATAGCTCCTTGTTTTTTCCTTGGTCAGAAGGTATATGGAGCTATTCTGTCTGTGCACTGACACTGTGCAGGACTGTGGGAATGGAAACCTGCATGCTCTGACTGCACTTGTGTTTACACTGCAGACTTGCCCATGTTCTCCCTACTGACCTGATGCCAGCACTGGAGGCATGGAGAGCACAGAGGGAGTCAAGCTGGGGCTGCCTCAGCCTCCCTGCCTGACCCAGAGCCACAGCCAGTGCTTTGGGGGCAGCAGAGGAGGTTCTGGGTGCAGAGCATTCCATGCCCAGAGTTACTGGGCTGGTAACAGATTACCTCCCACTGTCTTGTTTGCATAAAGCTCTTAGCAGGGGATGTAGTGTTTCTCACTGCTTTGATGCAAATCCCCTTTCTGCTGAGAAAAAAGGCTGTACAAGGGCAGCTTTAAGATCTTAAGTGCAGCTTCACCATAACTGTGTCTGCAGGAACTGCATTTTCCAGAATTGCCCAAGCTCTGTTACATGGTTTATTTTGTCCTGTCAGACATACCAAGTGCCCTGCCCAGCAGCAGTCCTGGAGCACATCTGTGGCCACTTTCTTTACTTAGCTCTTTTCTTCTTTGCTCCAGATTTTTCCTTGCCTGTTTCCTTCTCTCCTTTTCCCTTCAAATACTTCTCAAGCTCCTGGTAGGGGCCGAGGAATCTGCGGACCATTGTACCTTTCCACCAGGCCTGCACCTGCAAGTGAGGGAGAGAGAGGCCTCAGGGGAAATCACTTGCTGGGGTACCTCATACAGCTCAATGCCTGGAGAGTCTTTCCTGTGCTCCCCAGCCACAGAAGGGAACCCCCAGCCCATGCAGCAGCCTTTGGGCCTGTGCTGGTTGTGCCAAAGCATCCATAGCTGGGCTGAGGGCACCTGTTGCTGGTGGCCAGGAAAGCAGGGGCACTACCCTGTGACCCTCCCTGTATCACCCGTGCAGTGATATTTGCAGGAGACTGGCTGCTCCCCTTCCATTTCCCATCTCAAACCTGCAGCCAGCTGCTGGCTCTGAGTGTGCCTCAGCAAAAGGAACAGGCTTTGTCCTTTGCTTGTGCCACCACACACCAGCCAGCTTTCTTGGGCTGTTTTCTGCCTGGACAAAGCCTGTGGCACAGATTATTAACTCCCAGCTGCTGCTGGAGCAGCACTGCCTCAGCTTGGCTCCCCTCTACCTTCACAGCACTCTTCAGCTCCAGGGCTTCCCGCTCTCTTTGTTTCTTCTTGGTCTCCTTGTCTGTCCGGTCAATGATGATGGTTGTCTGGAATGTCAGGCACTGCAGGAAAGCACAGGGATGGCAAAAGCTGTGACAAACACATCCCCTAAACTGCACAGCCAGCCTTCAGGGCTCACTGTGCCCAGCCATTTGCCAGGGCAGGGCTCACTTGGACCCTGGTGCAGGGATTCTTTCCCTCTGCTCCCTACAGGTCTCATCCTTGCTACACACTTCCCACAGGACAGCTCAGGCCCATGGGTTGTGGTGTCCCTCTGCACCAGGGAGCTCCAGGGCAGCCCAGGGATAATGTGTGAGTGGGGGCTTTCCTCCCCACCTCCATTATTTGATCTTTCCTAAATCCAGATGGCAAATGTTGCTCATTACCATTGTCAGTCCTCAGGCACTTGGAGCTGCTGCCAAAGTGAAACCTCTCACAGCCTGGATGTAATTAACCCCCTGATCCTGTGCTGTAAAATGGCTGGCTGATGGCTTCCCAGGCAGCAGCTGCTGGTGGGGAGGACACTTGGTCCCCCAGGCCAAGCAGCAGATGATCTACAAACACACTTGGGACACTGAGATGACAGTGCACAGAGTGAAAAATGAGCCCACAAGCAGGGAAACATCCAGCTCCATCCCATCGTTTCCAAGCCACGGATGGTAAGGAATGTTTACAAGTAAATTCCTTCTGGTTTTAAAGCACACATTTTTCTAGATGCTTTTCTCCATTCTGTGCTGCTGTTCTGCTGTGATCAGAACTCAGCAGTTAACCAAGAATGCAGTGGGGCAGGAATGATTCTACCCAGAATCAGCTCCCTGATAACAGAGCTCTGTGCAGCTGGGAATGTGTGTCTGCAGGAAGAGATGAGCTTCCAGTCTCAGCCTCTTATCCTGATTTTCCTAGAAGGAGCAGATTTGTTCAGACTCAGGCAGCAAAGTAAGGTGAGGCATCCTGATGGGATGGGACAGTACCTCTGCCCCTCACAAAGGCTGTCAGTAGCTCTCTCATTACTTGCTGGTATTTGAAAATAGCTATAGGGGAATCATCATCATCCCTCCTTAATGTCACAGGTGGCAAATAGAAGATGACATCTCAGCCATTGTCTTCCCAAGACAAGTGCTATAATCACAGCCTATGCCTCAAAATTACTGATTTTTTTTTCTGTGGTCCTGGTTCCTTATCCAAATGAGTGTAGGAAAAAGCCCAATGCAATTTTGCATGGCTGAACATTGAGATGCTGATGTCTTACCTCCTTGGCAAATCTCTGCATTGTTTCCAAGTTCTCTGCTTTTAATGCTCTTAGATCATCCAGTTCTTCATCTTTTGCAGCAGTGTCTTTTTGATACTTCTCTATCCAGTATTGCAGCTTCTCTTTCACCTTCTGCATGGGGGAGAGTGTTGCTCAGCACGGTGCAAAGAGGGCACAGGTGAGAGGTTTGCTACTATTACATGGCTTGCTTTCAGGATGGGGGTGAGAGTCCTGTAAATTGTGCATGGTCAGTGTTTCTTTCTCATCTTGAAAACATCAAACCCCTAAGACTACTCATAAATTACTGCAGGGCAGTTATTTTGTGCAGGCAGTTCTGATGAAGCAAGTGACAGCCAGAAGCCATTTGTTGTGTGTATACTGAAGGAGGGGGGAATTAAAAAGCACAGTTTGTCAGTGGGAGAGCTTTTATCCTCTGCCTGACTCCCTCTCTACTTTCTGGATTAAGCTCAGCACACCAGGAATAAGGTCCCAGGGGAGAGCATTTCACACTATTTCAGGTTGTGAACTTGGCTTTGTGTTCATGAATAGGGCAGGTGTTTCTGAAACAGTCACCCAGATGACTTCCTCCTATTCACCAATAACTTCTCCATAGCAACCACCGTGATTGCTTCCATGGAAAAATAATCTGAGGAAAAGCATCAATCTCATTACAGCATCACAGCTGGACACACAAGGGGGATGGAGGGCATGGCCATCCTCCTGTCTGCAGGCCCCTGCAAAGCCAGCAGCTGCTGTCTGAGCACTGAGGGGCTGCTGCTGGAGCTCAGCCAGGCTCAGCATGTGCTGGGGCAGTCCCCTCGCTGGGAGCATTGATCAGGCCAAGGCTCTGGGGAGCAGAGCACACTGTCCAACTGCTCACAAGATACACCACTGGTTTGCCCTCAAATTACATTTTTAAAAAGATATTGTCTCCTATTAAATTCTGTACTGGCAGTGGCCTCAGGTACCCTGCAGCAGTCCATGTTTTCTTCCCATCATACCATTTTTGAGAGGCTTTGCAACATTATTCACTGGCAAGTTATTCACTGTTAATGATAGGAATGCTCTGAACCTCTGAATCAACACCACAAGGACATTCATGCTGCTGAAAATGTGTACAATAGTTGTGGGTTAGCAATGATCCAGCCCCAATTCTTCCTCAGATAAGGCCAGACTGGCAGTTTGTGTCATTCCCTCCCCAGTGTCCCTCCCCTCTGCACAGCCCTTACTGTGGGCTGTTCACTGGGGTGCTGAGAGCCCCAGTGACTGTCAAGTAGGGTCTAAATAAAATTCCAATTAGCCAAATACAACTATCTAGAGAGGATAGAGGATTTTTCCTAGAGAGAGGAAAAATCCATAACACCTGAATAAATAATGTAATTCACTACATGAACCCTAATTTTAAAGAAATTATGTGGGAAATCCCAAGCCTTGGGGAGCTGAATTAATTAAGATTTGAGGACAAGTAATCATTCAAACTGTAGCAGTCATGAACCTGGTACATTTGATGGAGCAATGACTGTTTTCCTTTGGGCACTAATCAATGATATGGTGTTTATAGGTTGTTATTTTAAGCATTGGCTGACAGTCACACATACCTGATACTCTTGCGTGAGGAAATTTTCAGTTTCCATGTGAAGCTGAATCTCCTCATCAATTTTGCTCTTTAAATTCTGTGATCAGAGCAGACAGAACACCTGTGAGACAATTTTGGTGTGTATGTGTGCACACACTGCTGCTAAAAGCTGAGTAACAAGTGCTGGAGCTCTGTGTAGTCCACAGACATTTTTTCCCAGTGATAAAATCAGCCAAGGCAGTCCTTGCTCCTGGGCCATCCATGAAAAAGGGACAATTAGATCAGACCTTGATCAGTCAAAAAAAGATGCTTGCAAAACCAGACAATTTTCTAGTCCTTATGGCCACAGCAGCAGGTCTATCTGTATAATCTGCTGGGGGCACTGCTGGGAGCTCAGGTTGCTAATAGCTTTGTAACCACCCCTTTGGATACACTTCTGGCTCTGGTTTTCTGGCCATGGCATTGCTTTGAGCATTCCCTGTCTCTTAAAGCCATGCCATCCTTGTTGTTGCTGATTGCAGCATCACACAGAGAAACAATAGAAGAGATAAAGGTGTCTGACCCCAGTGAGTTTCCTGCTCCAGCTCAAACAGCTGTGCTGGTGACTGTAATGAGGAACAGAGAGGGCATCTGGGGAGTGAGGGAGGGCTCTTCCCTTGATAGATGGAGAGGCCTTTCAGTATGGGCCATGGAGAAGGGCTTACCTGGATTTCCTTCTCCAGGGCATTCTCTGCACTGCTGCACTTTTTCTGGGTTAGTTGGATCTGGAGATCTGTGTTTTTCTTCATGTAGTTGCTCTCTGTGTCCACTTTGGCCGTGGTCTCTTGAAGCTTATCTTGGAGGCGATCAATAACCGAATCTCGGCTCTAGTGGAGACAAAAGCAGCACAAAAGCAAGCCTGGAGACTGAGGTCAGCTCACCTTTCTTAATCTCTCCACTCCCTGATAAGGTCAGAAGAGACAAAGCTATAGGCTTCACTTTCACCTGAATGTTGCTCCATTTCAAGGAGCATTTCAAATGTTAGTTTGATCTGTAACCCATATAGACAGCAATAAACCCATCAGCAAAGAGTGACTGCCTCTGGAGAGAGCAGACTGAGGAACAGAGTGAGACAAGAAGGCAGGCCTGCTCTCTGGTCAAGAAATTGATTCAGTCGTGCTTAGGATAAACATGAAAAAAAGCCAAAGAATTTTAACAACTTAAAGTTAGGCTTTACTTTTACTAACACCTTGCATTAGACTATCTCAGTGAGTGAGCATATGTAAGAGGAGGGTAATGTCTCAGCCCCACAAAAGCCAAAGTTTGTTATCCTAAAGTATACTCTATTCCTTGGATTTAATTTTTTTCTAGTTATGGAGCAACTGTATAAACACAGCCTTAGGAACAAATGCAAATCTAATGCTGACTTGCTCGTATTTTCAAACAGTTCTTTCTTGAAATCTTACCAGGTAGATGGTGCCCACTTCATTATGAAAACACACCCAGGGCAAGGAAGCAGTGTCAAGGAAAAGCTGGCTATGAGGTTCCAGCCTCTCCCCATGCCTTGCTCTGCAATGGAGCTGAGCTTTCCTGGGGCAGAAAGCTCAGTTTTCTGTTCCCTAGAGTTCTCCCATTGGCCAGAATCCTGAGTGGTTTGTCCAGCTTTTGGAGCATGCTCAGGAAGCAAAGTGCATTTGCTTGATTTGGGATTGCTGTTCTGTTTATTCCTTTTTAATTAATTTACTTGAATAGCAGATAAAGGTTCATTACCCTGGGGTTGGAACTTGGGACAAATGCCTGCAAAATGAAGACTTTTCTATAGAGTTAAAAAGGTCATCAAAGCTTCCTGTGTAATTATGCAAGATCAATGTGAATGCACCCAACTGCTCCTTTTATTACAGCCTTTCTCTTTGCCTCCCTGCCATGCTGTGGTGGGTTTGATATTCATCAGCCAAACCTCCACAGCTGAAGATGAAATACCAAAGTGCTGACATTTTTTGAAGCTCACATATCTCATCTCTGAAGCACCTCACATTCCTTAGCTGTGTAAACATGGAAAAATGCCACTAAAAGAAGCCAGTTCAATAGTGCTGTGTTTGAAAGCCCTTGCAGCATGACTCATTTGGAAAAAGTCTCCTTATAAGAAGAGTTTGGAACAGTTAAAAGGAAAGTCCTTCCTTCTACACCCCTTGTCATACATAGGAAGAGTAGAGTACATTTATGAGGCTCAGGATAACTGGGGCCTTGGCTGATGCTGTTTTGTGGAGTCAAAGATGTTCACATGTTTTTGAATGTTTCAAACATCAGATACTATTTTTATGGCCGTATCATCATATGACTGCAGACAGCTACAGACATGAGCCGTTTGTGCCTTTTTAAGGTTTCTGGTCATGGCTTTTATTTTCCCTGGTATGGAATTTTGGTGGCCATTGGGAGGAGTTGTGTTCCTGGTCAGTAGGCAGGGGATGTGAGTGTCCACTCTATTTTGAGATTGTCTTCCTGGGTCATAGTAGAATCACGTCTCAACTGAAGAACCAGCAGAGAGACTGAGTAGATGCTAATTTAAAAAAAGCAAACCCACAACTTTTTGTGGCGCTAAGGCTCAGGGAAGTCAAACACTGCTGATGCCAGTGTGTTACTGCTATCTGCTCAAGATCTGCAAACTTGCCAGAAAATAAGGGTTCAGCCTAGGTTACAAAGTACTCAGAGAGTTGGGGCAGAGCATGAACTTCTCACCAGGTTATTTTCTTTTTCATTTCACATTTATTAAAGAAAAAAGTGCTTTTGATTCTCGTGCCCCAAGCCTCAGCCAGGATGGGGGCCCATCTGCTCTGTTGTTTTCTCTGGTGAATGGCATGTCTGTGGTTTGGATTTGGTCTGCAGTGTTGTAAAACACACTGGTTAGAGGTGGGGAGTCTGGGGGCTTGGTTACACAATCCAAAGCAGACAGGAAGTGAAATGCAAAACCCACTGGTGGTTTACAGCAGCATCTGCCTGGCCAAGGAATGCAGGCGTGAGGGCAGCTCCTGCTGCAGGACCTGCAGAGCTGGGGCACGTCTGGGATTTAGCTGAAGGCAGTAAATGCAGCAGTAAATGCCCACTAGCTGTGGGTACCATCTGCAGAATGTGCTGTTCCCCAAACTTCAGGGACAATAACTGGGAAAATGAATTAATATTTATTCGTTCTGGTTTATCATAAGCAAAGGTCCACGCCAGGACACGGAATGCTTTCATAGCTGATGCAGTAAATCTCTGGGCTGCTTATTTGGGATGACTTCAGCATTGAATCTGCCAAACCAAATCATCCCTCGTATCCAAAACTATCAGAAAACTGGCAGAGACCAAGATCAAAACCCAGGAAATAATTGTCAGGAGCCAGTCTGCTTCACAAGCAGGTAAACAAGCTGATTTTCTCTGATCTCTTGGCTCACAGACATCAGCTCAGAGGCCTGTCTGCTGTCACCTGGTGCCACTGGAATCATCCCACAGATGCCATTTGGCTGCAAAAGCAGCTGCACTTAGCTGGAAACCTTATCCACACTCCTGTGTTTTCATTTGCTTTGATTTATCTCTCTTGTGCCACCAAGCTCTTCCACAGCAATTAGTGTTTACAGTCATAAAATACAGCTGGTTACAAAAATAGCCCCCAGGAGTAAACAGTCTGAGGAATTCTCCAGCAGTGCAATGCTGCCCATTTGGCAGGAGAAGGAGTGCTGTGCTCTGTGCTGACAGAGGCCCTGCTCTGCCTTGCTCCCACACCGAGTGCTCAGAGCTCAAAGCTCTCCCTGGCAGCTGTGGCATCTCAGCTTGCAGGGCCCGGAGATGTGCTTGGATCCACACACCTGCTGCAGCCTGGGCTCACTCCCCTCAAACCACAACAGGGGAGCAGCAGCCCTGCAGGCATTTCAGTAGGGCTCTGCCTGCATCACTGTCCCAGCTCCACAACACCCTCAGGGAGTGTCTGTGCCCAAGGGACAGCAGGGCATGGACAGAACATTTCTGCAGCCCTTGGCCAGCTCAGCACCAATGCCAGCAGCTGCAGGAGAGCCCCTGGAGGGGCACTTTGCTGGCAGAGGGAGCAGACCTGCTGGCAGCAGCACTCCTATGGAAAACCCTGCCCCTCTGGATTTAGTGCACCAGCTCCAGGTCCTGCAGTGCTCCTTGGGGCCCTGCCAGCAGTGAAGCTCAGGACCATCACTAAACTTGTGCCTTCTGCTGTAATCATCCTGTGCATATCTCCAGTAGAAACATGCACCAGTGGGTGTGTGTATGTGTTTAAAACATTCCACAGAACACTCTGTTGATGCATTTGTCCTCCTGGGAGAGGAAAAGGGAAGAAACATGATGGGTTTTAATCTTACTACTAAAAGCATGACTAAGTGATGCACTGATACAGTGGGTCTGGGTGTGTTATGAGAACTGACAAAGAATTAAAGTTACAGGTCTGTTTTCAGTGGTGCTGTGGTGCAGTGGCTTGGCTTTCTGTCTGTTTGGTAGCTGTAACATCACTGCTTGTTATAAAATGACACCACTACCTGCACACATGTATAACATGAGTACAACACAAAACCTACAGTACATAAAAAGTCTTTGGGTGAAGAACAATGCAGGAATGCTATATTTTACATTCCTAAATTTTTATCTTACGCTGCATAATCCTGTATGATATTAATGTTTCAAAAGCTGCACAGGCTGCTGTTACTTGTCCAGGAAACCAGAGAAAGTATTTTTATAGCAACTAGGAAATCAACACTGCAGCAGCAAACAGACCCCCTGCAGCCAAACCTGAGCTACCAGTGCTGCTCCTGCACAGAGAGGTAAGAGCAAAACCAGATGCACCATTTCAGCTCCTTTAGAGACATCAGGGCTTTCCAAGAGAAAACAAAATAAAGAACATTTAGCATTTGATTTGTGTTCCATTAGAAAGAAAAATGAGCTGAGCAGGTTAATACACTATTAATTAGCATCTTATTAAGAGGTAGAAAGGCTGAAAATACAAATTCACAGCAACATGAGTGAGACAAAGGCCGTGTTTTTCTGGTTCCAGGATTAGATTTGCTCACTTTTGTTTTCTCAGCCATGTAGGCTTTTGTCTACAGGTCTGTGCATTATTATTGCTGTTCAAAGTACTCCAAAGTCAGTGAAGCTGTATTTTTATTTTTAATTAGCTGGCAAGGTGACAAATCATGCAAGTGTCTGTAAAACTGCCTATGAGAAAATCCCATATGAAGCAAATAGAAATTATTCTCCCTTGGGAGACACAGTGAGACACCATTATTTTTGGCACAGGAGGAAAGCAGTACTTTAAAGTAGTCTTGTCTTTGATTTATCAAAGCTGAAACTATAAGGAAGATCAGAAAAGGACTTTTAAGCTTGAAATATTAAAAAAAATCGCAGATAAGTGCAAATCCCACTTGATGAGGCAAAACCCAAGAACTGAATTAGCACTGAAAGGACAAAAAGAAGACCTCCTCCCCCTCACAGCACAGGAGCTACAATGCAGGGCAGGACACAGAGAAGTGGCCCCCTGACTGTGGAGTGCCAGGACATTGCTGCTGGTACAAGACAGGATGATTACAGCCCCTGGGAAGGCATTAAACCAGGACTGAGTATGTATATTGTATGCATGGACATGGTGAGGTTTGAAGAGCACTACACAGATGGAGAACTACCTCATAACATTCACCAGCCTGGGGAGTGGGAGAGCAGGAACTTTCCAGGAGCCATCAGAGTCTGACTGAGAAGGCACAGTGTGAGAAGCAAATATGTCGCCCCTGTATTTACAATTAAACTTTCCACTCTGTAGGCATCCAGGCTGCCAACACAAAATCTTTGTGTTCTACAAACCAAACTTCACCAGCATGTCTGGAGCTTAAAATTCCTCTCTGTAGTCAACTATATCCTGGCTTGATTACTCTCCACACTTTTGTCCAAAGACAAAACTCAGTGACACCAATTCTTTCCTCAGGTGCCCTTGCTGTCCTCTTGCTCACTACTGAACCAAGTGTCAGATTCTTGTTCCTTCCCCCAGCCCCTGTACAGCTCTGCCCCAGCTTGCCTTCTGCTTGTTTGCTATCACACATCTGCCTCAGCAGGGCCAGGCTACATTTCCATGTTGAATGAGCATCCAGTCTGAGCTGTCTGGTGAGCATCAAAGTGACCAGTGATAAGCCATTCCATTGATCTGCACTAGTGTAGCAAGTTTTATATTTCCAGAATGCCCTATATTTACTGTGCATGCACACACCCTTTGCATGATGCAGACAGAAGAGCTGAAGCTTTCCAGAAAAATTAAGTTGACAGCATATGTGCAATAACATTGATCTCCCCTTGTGTAGGCATGTTTGGGATTTTCTAATGTCTGCAAGCCTAGAAAAATAGATTAATAGAATGACACTTTCCCCAGATGAAAATTTAGGTAAAAAACTGGCCTGCCCCTATGATAGGTGTCTTTCTCACTCCCTTTGGCACACTTCCTTCTGTGCCAAATGATCTGTCATGACTGAGTATGACAGGACCTTAGATACTGTTATCTGCAGATAATCTCTTTCTTACTGATTGCATTATCTGTGCTTTGTCACTCCCAGTAGAGTTTCTGGGATATTCTAATTTGACCATGGTCTCTCATGATTATGAGCATTTTGAGCTCCCATTTGAAAACCATCAGACACTTGAAGTCATTAGTGGGCTTATTCCAAATACAAATCTTTACTGTAATTATTCTGCTCCTGTACTCCTAAGTGGTGGCTCATTGTGTATGGCCATGGCCTCCCTGAGTGCTGGGCAGCAGAGGCCAGCTTCCTAACAGGCTTCCCCCTGGCAAGATGCCCAGTGCTAAGTGCTCTCACCTGAAGGTCCTGACCAGTTTGTTTCTTGACTTCTTGCAGCTGTTTCTGGAGTGCCTTTATGTCCTTCTTTCCTTTTTCCTCCCTGAGGTGGGAAAATACAATCACTTGAATATATCAAAAAAGACAAGAGCTGTTTACCTAGAAGAGGAACTTCCTGTCTCCTGATACGTTGTGGTAAGATAAACAAAGACTCCTCACCAAAACTACTGACTTGGTCAGTAAATCCTGAAAGAAGAGGTGCACAGACTGAGCAAGGCAGATGGGAACAAAAGGGAGAACAAGCCAAAAAAACGGGATGCTCTTATTGAAGGCCTGGAATGGATTTGAGGATGATGCAATTATTATAGCGGAGATGGAAGATGCCTGTCTTTGAGTCACAGTTTTTACATTTAGGCAAAAATGCCTGAGATTCTATGCAGAAGCAAGCCTGAGCAGCAGAGAGTGCCAAATGGTGTTATTATGTGTATAAGAATGTTGTTCTTTCATATCAGACCTAAAATCTTCCAAAAAGCACTGCCCCAGGTTCTGGGATCATGAAGGGACCCAAGTGAAGACCAAAAGCTAGAGAAGTGTTCATCTGTCTAAAACAAAACAGATGCAGTAAATATTCTAGGTATTATTATCTTATTTCACTCAAAGTGCTTCTCTTAGATTTTATGCTTATGATTAGTTTTAAAACCAGTAAATACTACAGTTAGTCCCTGAAACTTTGTATCCTTTTCCAACCTTACAATCACACATGCATTTTATTTTCAGAGTCCTTATCTGGGTGACTGATGAACAAAAGCTCCTGATAAGGAGTCTCCCATCATCTCACTGCAGGTGGCTTTCAGAACAGTGTATTTACACAAAATGAGGCAAGTATTTATTATCTTGAAATACAGATCAAGTTCATTCCATGAAAACAATGTATAGTACAACATATCTAGATGTGATTGACAGAAGGGGATAAAAAGGATTATGTCCTTTCTGATTATAATTTGTCTGCTCTTTTCTACCTTTCCGTATTGGATAGTTGCTCCACAGCCAATTGCTAATCTCATTCTTGCTTTCTGTCCCTTCCATGGATAAACAATAGATCCCTTGGTTTTAGGCAGTGGAAGTGGAAGAGTTGTGTTTCATGCTTGAAGTCACACATTGCACTGAAGCTGGGGATTTGCCCTGGAGGCAGATCCCTGAGTCACCACAAGAGCAGTTCCTGTAGGTTGGACTCCTGGCAAATCATGACTGAGAGCAGCTTTGCTGTGCACCCTCAATGATGGGCCTGAGCTGCTACACTGAGGTAGCTTTAAAGTGGTGAAATATTTGTCTGCAATTCTCTCTGACAGTTTTGGGATTGAATCAGAAGTTTGCATGCTAAAAAAAACCCCCAAACCTCTAGAGCTCAAAAGTTTGAGCTGAGATTATAACAAATGTGTACCCTGGAAGATTTGGGACAGAAGGGAATCACAGCACAGTGGCTGGTGGTTTAGCCTTAAATAAGACACCTCTGTCACCATCTGTGCTAACCCCTCACTGCTGCTGGGAAAAGGGAGCCCATTAGCATATGGGTCAGAGCAGATTCTCCTGGGCATCAGACAACCTAAAGGCCATATGTTGCTGGCCCTGATTTGAACAGATTCTCTGCTGCTCTGGCTTTCACTGGGGACAGAAGTTAAAGATCAAGGAGCTCCTACATCACATTATGTTTTAATTGAAATGAGGCATTTGCACTAATTCAGCCACTGGTGTCCACTGTGGTCAAAGCTTGGGCAATTCCTAGCTCAGATCACTATCAGACCCATCCACCGTTTCTTTCTAAAGGGGAAAACTTGCAGTTTGCAAAGCAAACAGAATAATTCAAGTTTTAAAAGGTATCCCTTCTGTATTTTAGTTTTATTGGGTTTTATTTCCTTTTCAGCATGTACTCAGTGGGAATGGCTTTCAGCATTTAAACAGGGAAGAACTGAACACAGTACTGACCTGATGAGGATGTCATAAAATTTGCCCTTTCTTGCCTTCTCTCTCTCATTAGCATCTGTTAAGCTACTAAATGTTCCCAATTCCTCCATCTTTTTAATAGTGACTGTAATTACATCACTTGCATACTGCCTGCCAAGAAGAAAAGGAACACAACAATACTTTACAGGTCCTGGTAGTATCCATTACTGTTTACAGTAAAATGTAGGGAAATAAAAGATCCCTTTTCTGGTCTTATGTCCTATCAACCCCAGGAGTGCTTCTCCCATGGTATCTGTTTATTGTACATCTGGAGAACTCAGTATTACAAGCTGCTGGAAGTTTATAATTTAAAATGCTGCCCTGCATGCTACTCTGGGAAATTGCAAAGAGACACAAACATATCCATGCTGTGCCAGACTGTTGCCATTAAGAAGGCTGCTGGCCTGCAGTAGTGATGGCAGGTGGATCTTGGAAAATGAGACCTGGCCATGCAATACGTGGGCTTGTCCAGTTTATTGAATGTCATGATGCATGTGGCTTTTACATTTTAGCTGCATTTTCCTTATTTGTGTTAGAATCTTCTTTAAACCCACTGTTGAAATGACATTAAATGACAGAAGCCAGGATGTAGAAAAATGCATACTGAGCATTCAGCTGCATAATCTCTTTCAAACCAAAGGCTGCTGGTATTTCTGCAAATCAGGGCACAGGTTTAGGTGCAGGAATAAAGTCTGTTTTAAAAAAGAAAGAAAATCTTTAGTCTTTATATACATTTTCTATAATGGCTATAACTGCCAGAGAAGTTCTGTGTGCCCTGCAGAATGACTGAGTTCAAAAACAAGGCTCAGATCTCCCTTTGTATGTGGGATCAGCTAAAGGAACCTGAAACCAGGTACCAGAACGTGAGCACTGATTAGTGCCTGGCATGATTTCTACCCAGGCAACCATTATCAAAGGGGTGATGTTTTATAGCTCCATTCAAAATAAACTACTGGTCATTAGGTAGCCTCCAGAAGCAAGCAAAGGCTGGGGAACTAAATGGTCTATGAAGGATACCCCTCCTATCCCTAGAGGAACTCCTTTCTGACAGAGACTGATGTACTCTGGCAGTGGGAAAGCAAGGAAGTTGTATTTTTGATTTCAAGAGATAGACTGAGAACTTTACAGCTCTGAGCATCCCTCACAGGTGCTTCACTCACCTGTCAGCATAAATTTTTTTGAGCTTCTCTAGAGCCCGAGTGATGTGTTTCTTGGGGGTTTTGGAAGAATGCTGGGTGCTTTTCTCATCTTCAGTTTTCCCCTGCTGCTGCTTTTGTTCGGTGTTTTCCAGGACTGTTTGCCCACTCTCCTGCTTTGCTGACATAAGCTCTGGGAAGTTGATACCCAGCTCCTTCTGGATAATTTCTTTCGTTTCCTGGATGTGAATGAAAGGGGACAAGGGAAATAAGAGAATAAAGAGGGAAAAGGAAATAAGAAAGACCTGCTTGCACATTGCACAGCAGCACCAAACCCTCTGCAACATTATGTGATAGGAAGGAAAATTAGTAATTAACTAGAATGAAGCTATACTGAGAACAGCTGATAGTGCATGTTACATTTTGCAAAGAGTGGAAGATCAGAAACATTTATGTTGGTTAGTTTTGAGCACACAGTGTAGCTCATTGAAGTTTATGGGCTCAGAAGTCCTAAAATGACAGGACTAGAAAAGGCCTAAAAAGGTGAATCATCCACTCCAAGAGATGATGGCTCAGACTGTTCTTAATCTGACATGTTCTTAATGGCCTCCAGCAGTGGAGGCTACACACCCTCCTGTCAATGCCAGCACCTCACAATTTTCTTTACCATAAGAAAGTTTTTTCTTCTCAACAGTATTTGAATTCCTGGCTTGTTGTCCTGGTCTCTAGGCACAGAGAACAAGTCCTTCCCTCCTTTTTTGCAGCAGTTTTTACAAACTGTTAGCCTTTTTCTCCTCCTCCTTCTCTCCATCTTAGACATTTCCCACTGTCTGTCACCACAACCTTTCCCTACAATATAATTGTTATAAATAGAGCTGTGTGGAAATAATTGCAATAGACTTTCTGTCTGCTATCTGCTTAGCAGGTTTTTGGAGAGTGTAACAGCAGAGGAAATATAACAGGAATTCAAAGGATAAATTCAAAATATTGGCATCTCTCTCCTTCATGGAAAGTTATCTTGTGATTGAGTACAATTTCATTAAAAAAGGAAAAGCCCCCAAAAATGCAAAAGCACACTATAAAATGAGCTAAGCTCTTGCTTCTAGGAAACTCTCTGCTTTATGTGTTATGGATAAAATGCAGGTGAATACACTGGGACATTAAAAGAGAACATTTTCTTGCTTGCCTACCAGCATTTCTGTGGCTGAACACTTCCTAACAGCACTGCTGACTGCAGCTAACACAGACCCTGCCAGCCCCATCCCTGTCCACAGCTGCCTGCTCCCCACCCCGGCTGCTTGGGGAAGCAGACAGAGAACTCACTGTGATGAAACATTTTCCAGCAAAAAGGAAAAAAAAAAGTTATTTTTAGCAGCACCAGTTCTCAGTCCAGATCCTTCCACAACCACACACACATTTGTGCCAGCAGAGCAGAGAAAACAAGTGGTCAGGGCAGCAGCTGTGGATGCCAGGAGTACTTCCAAAAGTTACTTGTCAGGCAAGTCAAGCAAGGCTCTGTCAGAGGTCAGGTGCTGCTGCAGTCTGTGAGGGCACTGCAAGGAACTGCTTCGTGCTGAGTGTTTTGGACAGCTCTGGCTTGGGATGGATCAGCCTCTGGCAGTGCCTGACTCATCAGTGACTACAGAAGGAGGATAAGTGACTGTGTGCTTAATTTTTGGACTGTTAAATTTACATTAAATGAATCATATACAAAACATACACTGTCCAATGAAAATTGCATTGTTAATTAGTAAAAAAAAGGGCTTAAATAGCTGGTTGGTGACAACTGTACTTCAGAAAGAACTAATTTTGGCAAACAAGCTGCTTTAATATCATGTAGATTTTATGAATGTTCTGACTGAGGTTTTTTATGTCTGGGAAAGTTCAAGACAGGCAATAACTGAGTTGTCTGTAAACAGTAGGTACTTACACACTAATAATCAACAAATAACTACGTGAAAGCAGGAAGTTTGTAAACTACATGTGTTACCATCTGTGTAGTCTCCTAAGTGCTTGTCTGTTGCCCAAAATTCAGCAAATAGAAAGGCTGCCTTCCTCTGGGGCATGCACTGTGTGAAGCAATGTGCAAGAGCATCCAGTCTGGAAAATCAGTGAGGTGCTGGCCAACACTGAGATTAATTCTCTCAAAAATGTCATCAACTGAAATTTAGATGTCAGTCTTTGAAGATGCCATTGATTTGTCTGCCTGATAGGACTCCAGGGTATTTTGCAAATACCGATCTTGTACAAATACAATGAAAACAGCCAAATGTAATCTGAGAAACAGGGAGGAGTAGCAAATTACAGAGCACCAAAGTTAGCAAGAAGCTTCCCTAAGCCATTTTCTTGTTTCTAAATTGTTTCCTCCTCAAATTGTTTTGAAATCTTTAAGAACACAAGTAGGGTTTCTAACCTGTGAGAAAGGTATGTTCTAAGACGTGACTTGGTGAAAATGAGCATCTGTGATTGAAGAGAAAAGCAAAGGTGTTTTCTCTGTAATTTACGTGTCCCTTCAGTAGATCTATCAACCTGAGTCTGTGTGTCTGAAGAGGACAACTTCTGCTGTCCCAGAGATATGCCCTTTCTCTGGGTTTTGCTGCTGGCGTGTAGGAGAAGGAGAAGCATCCTCTGGGAACAGTTGAGACCGGCTCCCAGGAGTCTTTCAGGGGAGCAGTGCCCTCTATGGCACAGTCTCAGCATCGTTCCCGCCCTGAAATTCACTGTAACTCCAGCTGCTGCTGCGCCTTTGCCATGGTTTTTTGGAGAAGGTAATATGGAAAGGAAGCACGTAGAAAAATTTGATTTAACTTCCTCTGCCATTCTTAAGTGGTCCATTAGACAGAGTGAACATCATTAGATGTCAAAACTCAGATACCAGTTTTTATTTCCATCCTGGTAGTGAACTTTTTTCTTGAGTTCATCTTAAAAAGGTTTCAAATCTGCTAGAACTGGAAAGAGCCTACTGTGCCACTTATAGAGCACAGTACTTAGAGCCATGGACCCCTCAGGATGGTCCCATCCTGATTCCTATGTCTAACAGCTACCAGAAATGTCACAACATCTTCCTCCACAGCAACAAACCCCTGCCTGAGCATTAGGAACTCTCTGTTCTCCATATCTCTTTTGAGTACTTTGAAATAACCTATATATTTCTACTTTTAAAATAGCTCTGTATCTACAGAAGAACCTACATATGTTTCACTTCCTTTTCCCCAGTTCTTTGCTTATTGTCTAACCATTGAGATTTTAAAATTATAATCTTAGGAACCTCATCTTGGATCAGAAGAGTCCTTTGCACAAATTCTTGACCAAGGCTTCTCAGTGACACTGCAATATAAATATTTAAATTAGGTGACTTTTATTGTGTTTCTTCACCCAAGAGTCATAGAATCACAGAAAATATATTTGAGTTAATTTTTTAAAAATGCTGGTAAAAGATATAAAACCAAGACAAAGAAAAAAAATATATATGATATACATCTTCTTAAGCAGTGGCACATACAAGGTTGATGTCTGTCTTGTCCGTATGTGGAACTGGCATGATATATCCAAGAATTGTGAGTTGATCCACACAGCTCTCCAGCACAGCACTAAACATCAGAGCTTCCAGATGAGTGATTTTTTCCATTTGTTTAGTCTCTGTGTTCTTGCTAGGAGGAACAAAGATAAAAGATACCAATCAGAAAAATGCTGTGGTGTTAGTAATTCAGTAAGAGTAGTTTAAACTAAAGGTAGACCCAAAATAGCCTTATTTGCAGCCTTACATATACTTCCCTGGCTTTGTTTATAACCTTCCATACACTGTTTATAAGAGGAGCTGTGCTCTGCTAATGGCTGCATTCAGGGACAGTGGGAATGTTTAGCTTTCACAAAACAAAGAGGTCCTGGTCCCTCCTGCAGCAGATCTGGGTAGACAGGCTGAGAAGGGAATGGGTATGGAGGGCACATACTGGGTGAGGTGCCTCATTATTCAGTTCAGGGGAGAGCAGTGGTTCATAGTGGACTTTGGGAAAGGACAGAAGAAGGTGCCTTTTCAAAAGAAAAAAATAAATCTGCATCCTATAAAGTCTCAGAGGGTGAACTTTCATGCTCTAATCATTCCTCAATATTACTCTGTAGCCTTCACACTTCTATCATCCCAGTTCCCTCTCAGCAGGAACAGTTACCATCTTAATATGCTGGAAGTTAAACAAGAACCAATATCTGGACTGGGTAAACAATCTTTAACTTTCTGTATTATTTTATTTTAACTTGCAATTCAAACATGAAACTGTTCTGACATACACTTAAGCACCCCTCTGCCTTGCCTACAGATGGAATATTGTGAAAGCATATCTAAGGAAAAGTGAAAGTTCACTATTAATCCAAAAATACCTAAGAAAACACCTGCACAACAATGGGGAAATTCTCTGAGAATTGTAATGTTTTGATATGCCTTTGGACAATCCCTCCAAAGCCTGTACATACAAACCAGGTATTTCTTGTACAACACGGAGCACAGCTGCAGTCTGAGGTGGCTGAGATCCTGAGTGTCATTGCAATGGAAGTATCAACAGCCACTAACAGAATCTTAATTTGGCTGCTCTACCTACAACTGGATTTGTGCCATCTGTAAAACCCTTGCATAAACATATCCTAAGCCTGCAAAATATTACAGCCCAACCTGTAAGCATGCCAAGGAAACACATCAGGCAGTCCCTGTTAGCATAGGACATGGCCATATCCTATGAAAATTAAAGAGGTTTGGATGCAGCTTTGCTCTGCATCACTGGGAATCAGTGATATTTCATAAGCAACAGTTTAAAAAGATTCATACTTGCTATAACATTTCTGTAGCAGTTATCATTTGTCCTCCTCCTTTTTTTGTTGTTTTTTTGAAGAAAATATGTAATTTACAGGTGGACCATGAAGTTAATTTCACTTGGCAGAAAAGAAGAGCCACTTTTCAGTGCAGGTTTATTTGATGTCTGTTGGTACAGAATAGGTAAAACAAACAGAAGATTCAAACTCAAAACAGACACAAATTTCACACATCTATTTCCTGACGTCCCTGTCTGTTGCATGAAGTTGTTTAATGCAAGTTGTTTAATTTCAACAAGTGTTGAAATGTGCTGGAAGAGGACAGGGCTCTCCCTGGGGGTGAGATTAGAAAGTGTGCACAGGGCAGTGACTGGGACTGCTCTCAATAAATCCATAGGAAGGGCAGGTACCAGGGAGGGACAGAAGTATTTAAGGTAAAGGATAATACTGCTCTGGATCAAGGGAGAGTAAATTCCCCTAAGCCAGGCAGTTGTGATAAGGTTTCTAACTCCTGAGTGGATGAAGATACAGATCAGCCAAGGTAATGGTAGAGGCATCCTGATTTATTTCAAGAAGCTTGTTTAAATCATGGCAGGAAAAGATAACAGCAAAGTAATGATTCTGAATATTATCAATATTCAGAATATTGTAACCACTTACATCTAATTCCTCTGAGCAGGGCTTTTGGTGGTCACCTAGGACAAAGAAGGAAGTGATTTCATCCCTTTGCTTCTGAGTTTTTTTTTCTCTTTTATCTTAATTATAAAAAAAGTGTAACAACTTGAGATAGAAATCTGATAAAAACTTTAACCAAAAAAAGGCAAATGATCTGTGTAATACACTAAACCCATCACTTTTCTTGTCAACCTTGGAATCAATTATAGAAGTGGACGTGCAGTACTTTACATCAAGAAAGTCAGACAGGGTCTTCAGTCAACAGGTAATAATAAAATATTTTTCAATGTTTTACTCATTTTTATCTTTTTCAGAAATCCATTATCCATATTTTGAGTCTAAACAACCTAAGAATAATCTATTACATGTGGAGTCATAATGCTAAAAATATGGTGAAAAAAGATGTGTTGGGAGATAGCTGTGACAGATGCAGCATTTTTGGAAGAAAAAAATAGCACACGCAGCTCTCATAGGAAAAAGGGACTTATTTGGAAACAAAGGAGGATGCAACAGCTTTTCCTCTTTTCCATTAGCAGCTTCTGACCAGGAGAGAATTAACTCAGGATATTAATATATTTCAAGGCAGCTGGCAGCTGGAATGTTTCTCTAAAGCCCCTTTGCTGCTTTGCTCCTCCTGTGTATCTTCTTTTACATCCACATCCTTGCTCAGCAGATCCATGTGCCAGGCCAGCAGGGTCTGGGCTTGTGTTAAGTTGCACTTGAGAAGGAAACCACTGTCTGTGAATTAGCAAGCACTACAGATATGAGCTGCTTGCTCTGGATTTTAGTGTCAGCACAGTGCCCCTCAGACCATCCACTGGCATCACCCTGCACTGCTGTGTTTGCTGAACTCCTCATTAAACTTTATTAATAATAATAATTTTTTAAAAAAGTATTCTCCCATGAGTTTTGGATGACATTCTGTCCCTGCTGATATAAAGGGAAAGAAAAACATATCAAGTAATCATTTTTAAAGCAACTGTATAAAAGGTCTGGCCTCATGCTCCTTTGGGGATTGCTCTGCTCCCTCTGCTCCAGAGGGACTCCCTCTGCTGTGTGAGAGTCCTGGATGTTCATTTCTCCCACCCTGCTGCCTGATAAAGGAAAATGGATACAAGAGCAGCATTTTGTGCAGCATTCCTTGGAGTCATGAGAAGAGACTCTAGTGAATTCCAGTGATAAAATGCATAGCTGAGAATGTCACATCTCCTTTAGGTCTGTGTGGCAAATGATTGGCAAAGAGAGGTTCTGAATATCCACAGGAGCAGCAGCTGAGCCAGAAATCACAAGTAACTTCATTTTTACCAAAGAAAGGTCTCTTGAAAAGCAAAATAGGTATGGCCTTACCTTACACAGTTCTGCCTACTGCAAGAAATGTTAGGACAGCAAGGTGCTCATTAAAAAAAAAAATAAGGGGGAGGGAGAAGTGGCGAGGAAAGGAGAGGAGAGAGGAGGAATCGAGAGAGGAAGGAGGAGGGAAGAAAGGGATGGGAAGAGAAGGAAAGGGAAAGGGACAGGGACCATCAAGGTTTCTCAAGGTTTCTTTTCCCTTCACCTTCCTTCCCCTAAATCACTTCAAGTGCTCTGAAAATGCACCTGAATTTCTGGCAGTGTGAGGGAAGTGACAGAAATCGGGAGTGAATAACCCTGACGTGAGCAAATGGGTAAGTACATGCTTCCAGATCTTATTTAGGAAAATAAAGGAATGTGAGACTTGGTTACAGGGATTTCAATGTCGAAATGTTTTCTGCCTCCACGGCAATATCAGAAGTAAAATAAATGTGGAGATGATTCATTGACTCAGGGTGAGAACATCGGACGACGGGCAGGGCCCGGAGCCCACCCCGAACACCAAGGGCTGCTCTCTCCCCCCGCGCTGCCTCTCTTCGGGCTCCTCGGCTCGTTCCACCGCCGCGGCCCGTTTTCATTCGCCCTGCCCAGAGCGGCCCGCGCTCCCCTCAACCTCTCACCGGGATCTGCCCTCATTTCCCCCACTCCCGGTCCCGATCCCGATCCCGGTCCCGGTCCCCGTCCCGGTCCCGATCCCGCCCTCACCGGGATGCGCGGCCCGTCTCCATGGCAACCACCACGCACGGGGGCCTCGCGGGGCTGCCCGGTGGGTGCCTGCGCAGCGGAGCTGGGGCCGCCCCTCCCGGGATCGTTCTTGCGGGGATCGCCCCCGTGGCACGCGGGCACGGGACAGGAGACACAGGACAGGGGACAGGAGACACGGGACGGGCGGTACCTTCCTCACTCGGTGCTGCTCACTCCGGCAACTCGGCCAGCCCGCTCGGGTCCTGGCGGCGCATTTCCCGGCAGGCAGCGCGGAGTGGATCTCTTTCGCCGCCATCTTGGGGCGCTGCGGGTGAGGAGGAGCGGGGCCGCGGGCCGGGAGCGGGGCCGGGGGCTGCTGCCCCCACTGTGGGGCCGCTGGCGGGCGCGGGGTTCCCGGGGCGCGGTGGATGGCGCGATCCGGGGCGGAGACAAGGCGGGATGGCGCCGATGTGCGGCGGATGGTCCCAGTCGCGGGTTGGGGCCTTCGGCTGGAGCGGGGCTGAGGCGGCTGCTCTGGGGGGCAGCGGAGGCTCCCGAAGCTCTGGGTGGCTCCCGGGCAGCCCCCGGGTGTTCGGGGTCCCACTCGCCGGGCCGGGTGAAGATGTCGGCCCGAGGCTCATGGCTGTGTGTCGTTTCCAGGCCTGCCGGGACCGGGTCTGCGGGAGGACGCCATGACCGGGAGGTGAGTGAGTGCCCGAGGCGGCTCTCGGCTCGGTTATGTTGGAACAGCTGTGTGTCCCTGGTGTGAAGTCTCTTGAGCTGGTTGTAGTTGCTGTTAGGATGTGCTGTGCTCTCCCTGGCCAGTCAGTAAATATCAGTGTGAAATTTATGGGTTTGTTAATCTCCACTGTACAGTGGATCTTTGGCATGGACTTTTTCCTTGAGTAAAGGGAGCAACGTCTTTTTCCCATGGGTAAATTTTCTGTTGTGCCACCGAATTTTCTTAAAGCATGTAGGGATTGAGTTTCTAAGTTAAGGGATTAAATGTGAATACTCTGGAGTTGCCTGGAGAAGCTGTGGCTGCTCCATCTCTGGAAGTGTTCAAGGCTGAGCTGGATGGGGCTCTGAGCAGTCCCTGCCAGCCCAAACCATTCGATGGTTCTGTAAATCGCAGCTTTATTATCTTTGGAGTTTGTGTCCTGTTACACGTGTGGCAGGTAGAACTGGGTATCTCAGTTGGATCCCAGGGCAGGTGCTGGATTCCCTCGGGCCAGATGTGCTGTCTGCTTGCTGTGTGGGACAAGTCTTATAATGACTTTACGTGGGCAGTGCCTGAAGAATTGTTGGGGAGTTTGTGCAGTACCTTTGTCCAGTAGATGTTAGGCTGTTGCTCTGGTTGTTAACTCCTTTAAAGCTACAAATCAGGGGCAGCTCATGCCTTCTATAGCAGTTACTGCAACGCAGTACACTTCCTGTGGTGTGTAGAAAAAAAAGCGATGTTTACTCGTCAGTGTTGGTAGACATTTGGAAACAATATCTGCTAATGCTGAAGCATTTGAAACTTAGTATGAAGCCAGTATTGAAGTGCCAGGAGTTTATGACAAGCAGAAAATGCAATGTTCTCATAAATGCTTCATGTTCCACATACTCAGCTTTCCTCTGTTCATCGAACATAAGTATTTGCAGTGATTTGTAAAAGTTGGCTGTTTCCTCTGCTGATTGCTACTGGTGTGGAATTAGTTTCTGCTGAAGCAGCCTGTGATTTGTTTTTACTTTTGTTGCTTTGGAGTGAATTATACTTTGCTGATGTTTTCTATGTCTTTAGGCTGTGGTGCAAGGCCATTTTTGCTGGCTACAAACGTGGCCTCCGAAACCAGCGGGAGCACACGGCCCTTCTGAAAATTGAAGGTGTTTATGCCCGTCAGGAGACAGACTTCTACCTGGGCAAGAGGTGTGCCTATGTGTACAAAGCTAAAAAGTAAGTCATTCTTGGTTTATTCTTGTGCTGAATTAGCCAATTCCTGTATTGGCTTTGTAAATGCTGGGAGATAATGATATTACATGATACATTAGAGAGCAAGTGGAATGAGAAACAAGTTTTGCCTAAGCTTGACAAAAACTGAAGGTGGGTTGATGGAGTAAATTGAAGTGAGTGAATTTGTGTTAAATACTTTGAACTGTTGAGTTACTTAAACAGTAAAGTGATTTTGTGACGCCTGGATGAATTTGTATTCTGACTTGTGTGTGCCCATGTCTGAGCAATGTCTGTCACTTCTGCTCTGCTGCCATTGGTACACACCTTGGGAACAGCTGCTTATTACTTCCACTTCTTTTTTTTTTCTTGAATGCTGTCAGAATTACCTTAAATAAAATTGATCAAACTGGTGACTTGACCACCATCATTTCCAGCATGGTACATGGCTCTTCATTTAAGGCAATTTCTGCCATCTATTCCAATGGCCTGTTCTTCTCCTGCCTTGTGTAAGTCTGGAAAAATAAAGTGTTGGCAATTTCATATTGTTGGTTTTTCAGTTTCATCGTATTAGCAAAAGTGTTTCCCAAATTTTTGAGCTTTGTAAGCTCTTAATAGTTGTCCGGGGGAACTTCTGATAAATTACAAGCTGTAATTACACCTTTGAAAGGTACAGTGAAAATCCCAGGCCAGGAAAATTTCACAAGTAAATAAAAGGGGATGTTGTTCTAGTTAAAGATGGCCAGGGAGCTAAATTATCGAGGTGCCTTAGAGAAACCACATTGTCACTGCTGGTGACAGCAGAGCTGTGACTGCCCTGCTGAGCTGTTCTGTGCCTCCTTTTCCCCAGCAACACGGTAACCCCCGGAGGCAAACCCAACAGGACACGCGTGATCTGGGGGAAGGTGACGCGCGCCCATGGGAACAGTGGCATGGTGCGCGCCAAGTTCCGCTCCAACCTTCCTGCCAAGGCCATTGGACACAGAATCCGGGTGGTAAGTGGATGTGGTTTAGCAGCAAGATATTTATTGGCAGTTTTGGGGGTGCCTTTTAATTCTACATAGTATGAGGGAACATTTGAATTCTGGTTTTGTTCTGTTGCTGCTGGGTGTTCAGCATGGCTCAGTGACTGTTTGATTTGGAGCCTAGAGAGGCTTTTTCCTGGCTTCCTGTGCTGAGGGGGTTTGTCTCTTTGTCAGGTTTGTGTACTTGCTTAGGTTGTCTGGAAAGGCTCTTCAAGTTCCAGGACTCAACTCCTTTCTAAAGCTGCCTTGATTTCTTTTCCACCAATCTGTTCTGTGTATTTTTGCACCCTTCTACTCCTCCACCTCTTGATTTTTCTCTTTCGTCCCAAATCTTTTAACTGAGGGCAGTGCTCTCCTGTCATGGCCACTCCCACCTGTCCACACTCTTGGCATTTTAGCCACAGGGCTTCAGTGGAACTGTCCTTTTCAGGTCTCTCACCCAGAGTTGTGATGTAATATTTTCCTAATGATGTTGTCAAAAGGAGTACAAGAGGGCCGCAGTCCTTTCTGTCTTTCTCCTATGCCTTAGAAAAAGCACAGTAGGAGCAGCACAGAGAATTCCTGAAATCCAGAGCCATGGGAACTTTTGTTGGTGCACAGGAGGGCTGGCTGCCACAGAGTCTGTGCCACCAGCAAAGTGCTCCTGCAAGTCATTCTCACACTCTTCTGCATAAACTGGGGATGGCTTTAATAGGAGTTGAAGAGATTCATGGTGTAGATTGTAACTGTAAAACGCATGTTTGAATACAACATTTCTAACATGATTCTCTGGTTTTGTGTTTTACAGATGCTGTATCCATCTAGGATCTAAATTTTTATTCAAAATAAAATGGAGAATCTGTTTAACTTTTGTATATTTCTGGTTTTATTGCCTCCACCAATTTTGAGAGACCTCTTTCTCCATAGTGTATCAGTTGACAGCACAGACAGAGACACTAAATCCTGGCAGGTGCAAAGCCTCTCACATGTCACAATAGTAGTTCTGATGGAATCCCTGATAATGAGCCCATGTGTACCTGGGCAGCATGTGTGCCTGTAGTGTCTGCTTTGTGTAAATAATTTAAACATGTTTTCATTGCACAGCTCTGTGGTGCTCAAGTGTTGATGCTCTTTTCTTGGCCACCCTTACCCCAGCTTGTCATGTAGGGCAATGAGCATCTTCCTGCACTTCCTTAGCTCTTTTAGTTTTGTTGAACAATAAGGTGGTGAAAAATGAATTTACAGTCGTGAAGTACAAGGCTCAGTTTCTTATCTCTGAAAATCCTCCCAAAATACTGGGTAGTTTAAAGGGAGGTTTGAGGCAGTTACAGGTTGTCATGGTTGCTGCTGATGTCACAGTCCCAAAATGACCTCTGGATACCCTGTGAGAGCAGTTCCACACACACCAAGTAGTTCCATCATTTTCAAGTCGGTCAGGCAGGTGAGTCTGTTGGTTCAACCACACCTTGAGCCCACTCCAGTGCAGTCCCTCCTTCTCAGGGCATGAGAGCTTCCTTCTCTCTGCCTGGCCCTGCTGCCAGTGTGTGTCATGGAGCACTCTGAGCTGTTGGCTTTGCAAGTTTGCAGTGGGCTGGTATTTCACAGCTAATCCTCTTCCTTCTGAAAGAGGTGGAGTAGTTGTGTGTGCAGAATACATCGTTGGGTAAATCAAACCTTTACTGTGAATTGGAATGAAAAAACTTGACCCAACTACTCAGCTCTGGTATAGAAATTATTTTGCTGGATTTAAAGACCTAAGCCTCCTGCCAGTGCTGTCCTTCACAGCAGGAGAGCCTTTGCCATGGAAAGCTGCCTTTTTTCAATCTGTGTAGAGAAATTGCAGCTTATGGGATATTGGGCTGGGTCAGGTAGGGCTTTTAGTCTTCCACAACTACCAGTAGGTTGGACACGTTGGATTCAAAGGATGGATGGGATTTCCAGCTTTAAACTCAGGGGAAGGAGGAGGAAATGTAATGAGCAAAGTGAACTGTAACAACAGGTTTGTAGGCCTGTGGTCTCTATCATATTAGTTTTTATATTAGATTTTGCTAATGAGAAGGTAGTAGGTCCTGAGTTTGATACAAGATGCCCAAAAATACAAGTGACAGGGGAAAGAGAAGGCATGATTATGTTTCTATTGTACCAGACTGCCAAGGTACAAAGCCTTTTTCTGGGAGGTGCAGCCCCAAAAAGCATATGACTGCAATTTGTGAATCTTCGTATCCAAACTGCTATTTTCACATTCATTTGGTCCCACCCAACCCAGCCTTGGCTGCTCAGAGCAGCAGGTGTTGCCTGTTTTGAGCCTGTGCTGTACAATTGCCTTTGCTACTTCCACTCCTTTCCCCAGCAGCACAGTAAACTGACGTGTGAGAGGAAGCTATGGCATCCAAGGAATCGGCCTCCTTCGTGGACAGAACCACCTGGGATTTCCTCAACCTACTGGACATGCTGGGGAGCCGGAATGGACGGGTGGGTGTGATGGAGGTGGACCATGCCGAGTCAAGAGCTCCCTCATTGCTGGTGGATTTTACCCGGGACCTGTGTGGCACAGGGGACATCAAGCACAAACCACAGCAGGCAGAGAATGAAGGAAAGGAAGAGGAGGACCTGGTTCCCCCACATCTGATTTTTATGTTATGGCAAGCCAGTGTGTTGAAAAGGCTCATGCAGTGGGATCACCTGGAGGAAGCTGTCCGGGACGTGAGGAGCCTCCTCCCCTGCCTGCCAAATGTGCTGGTGCTTGTGATGATCCGTCCTGACTCCCAGGAGCAGCTGGACCAGGCAGTGAGAGCACTGAGGAGAATGCAGTGTGTGCTGGATGGGGCCCTGCAACTGACTGTAGAGACTGCAATTTACAGCCCCGGCCAGCCTGGAGGTGTCCTGGAGGCAAAGAGAGCTGCCTGTAGGGCACTGAGAGAAGCCTTGAACTGCCATGAAGGTAACTGGGTGACACAGGGGTGAGGGACACAAAAACAAGTTCAGGCCAGAGCCTGAGGGACAGTGTAGATGGAAGTCGTGCTTATTGACTGGATTCAGATACAAGAGGGAAGACAAGCTGGACCTTGCAGGTAATATGAGCCAGAAATGAGAATGAGGGTTTACATGCTGGGGTGGGGATGGACAATATGTCCAAGCTAAGTGTGTTCCCTCTTCCAAGTGAGATGGTGTTGGGTCTACCTTGCCCCAAAACACACATGGCAGTGAAATGGCTGCTCTGACTCCCTGCTGGAGCTTTCTGTTATGTTAACTGCTCCACAGCCTCACTGACACCGAGTTCTTCATTGGAGGGATGTGCCAACCTTTTTTGGGTGGCCGCAGGCCTTAGCTTTGAGAGGATGGTGTCAGGTGTTCTTCTACATTTGTGTTTCTTCCCCTAGAAGTCGACTCCCAGGAGCCATTTGTTATTTCACTCCCGGAGCTCAGATACTGCCGAGTTCTGCCTGAGCGTAGGCAAGAGAAGATATCAAAGACAGATGGAGAATGAATTCCCTTGGGCAGCCAAATCTGTCAGGTTGGTTTTGGCACTGTCCTGCTGGATGTCCCTTTGCAGAACACTTCCTTCCTGCTGACTTGCTTGTCTGCCCAGACCTGCATGGATGAGATTCAGTGTGTGGCTGCTGCCAGAAGGGGACAGTGTACCCTCAGCATTGCACTGTCCTTGCCACAAAGCTCAGAGTTCTTTGCTGCACTAGCTGAACAATCTGCCCCGGGAAACTTTTATCAAAAATCACTGGGTTTCTGCTTTGCATTAAATGCCTTGATTATCAAAATGTCCCTAAGAAACCTGTCCCTAAGAAAGCTGTCAGCAGAGAGGGAATCAGAGCAGGCCAGAAGCCTCTAGATTTGAAACTGACCCAAAACTGAAATAGTGAGAGAAACTCAAGACTAAGGCCTCAGACCGTGTTTTCCCAGCAGAACCTGGATGGAGGAGTCTTTGGTACATGGTTCTCATCAGGAACAAAGCTCCTGAAACCATCCCAGGTTCTTTGTAGCAGGGGGTTGACCTTACATACAAGCATGTACACATCCAGCAGGTTGAATTTCTGGGATGGGTTATTTTGGATGGGAGGAACTGTGGGAGCAGTAGAATATTTTTAAGTCCAATTACCCACATAATAGCTGAATTAATTTCCCATCCTCTCTGGGCATGGCAACGCACTATAGGTAGCTGCACTTTTTTGCATTGGGAGTTTATATATTTTTTTTCTCTGGTGTTTTTTGTAGATCTTTTGTCATCCTAAGATCTTCATTATCATCAAAAAAAGGATTAAACACCTGATATTTATCTCATTTCTCTGTGTCTGTGTGTATCTATAAGCTTTAAAGCTTTTATCTAAGACTGCAAAACTGCTGAAGCTGCAGGTTTGTGCAGTATGGTACAGAAGGGGTGAGATTTGAGGGCAGTACAGATCCTGTAAACCAGTGTTTGTCAGAGAAAGGATTCTCCAGGTTATTTTTGAAATTCAAGATTCTTTCCAGATCCTTAAGGATGTGGCTTTATGAAGCAAAACAACCGTGCTCTAAGTGTTTGGGTGGTGCTGGTGCTTGGCAGACTTTTGGAATGAGGTAACCCAGTTGTTCTGTTGTGGAGGAGACTTTTCCACGAGCATTTCCACAAGATGAATTCTGCCTTTCATTACTGAGAACACCGGTTTTTGGTCAACCTAATGAAGAAATAGTTCCCTTGAGTCAAAGCAAGACATGTACATGTTCAGGCTGTTTGTGAGTGAAGAAAGTTTGGCTTTAAAAGATCAGCATATTAGGACATCCTTAAAGCAAGAAGCCACAATGAGGTCCTGTGTCTCTGTTATTTCCTGTAGTATCTGAAACACAGAGATAACCACCCAAATCCAGGCATAGTCCATGCAGCTCTCAAGTTTTTCCTCTGGCAGCATGTTTGTACTTTGTCCAGGAGCTTCTGTGCAGGGTGATGTGGGGCACTGTCAAGATGAAACAGGGAAGAAACTCTGAGATGTGGCTGAAATCCTGGCCAGAGCTTGGGAGCACAGGAATGCCCTGCAAGGGCAAGTGATGTAGCCACAGGAGTGTGTGGCTGGGGCAACGAGGAGCGTGGTCACCCGCACAGCTGAGGAGGAGAGGAGGCAGAAGGCCAACCATGGGTGCTCTCAAGCTGCACCCTTGCTGCATTCTCCACCTAATCCTGGGTGGATACAGAAAAAATCTCAGAGTGAAGAAGAGAAGGGCCTTAGAGAAGGGCCCCTTTGTGGCCTCTTTCAGGGCTGGCAAACCAGGCAGATCCACACTGACCTGCTCTGCTCATTCCAGTAACTTATGCCCTTTGCCTTATAAAAGGGAGCAGTTCTGAGAACCTGGGTGCTTGGCCATGCCAAGAAGGAGCTTTGTGAGAAGGAAGTAGGAGAATGTACAAGGCAGGGTTAGGGAGGCAGGAGGGGCTGTGTCTGTGTACAGTGGTCCCAGCTATTGCCCCCCAGCTTGGTGAAGTCTGAGGTGATTTTTAAGAGGAGCTGCAAAAGGTAAGTGCACAAAAGCTGGACTGTTGGTGTCAAAGGTATGTGTGTACTGGGAAAGAATGAAGACTGATAGCTGTGAATAGCTACTCTTGTGTCCTGTTTTCAAACCAAAGGTAAGGTTCCAGCTGAGGACAGCCAGAAAAAAGGCCAGAAGAGGCAGCTTGGTCCTTTGGTCTGATTTCATACTCATTGCCACTTCTTTAACATCTTCCAGTGGAGGATTCAGGAGTGGAATAGGCTGATAGGCTGGCTCCATCTGTGTCTAAGAGGGCAGGGAAGGACATCCCTCTATTATGTGACCAGGACTGACCAACACTTTGGCCTCTCTGTGCATGGCCCTGTGCCAGGTTTCCATCCTCCTCTTCAGCCATACCTTCCTATGCCCCTCTGCTATCCAGAAGGGGACAGTGACTCAGGGAAACATGAGGAAACTTAGGACAACTGCAGAGATGGGCAACTTCTAGAGGGAACAGAATTTTGGAGAAAAGAGACAGGAAAAAAGTTTGAGATTCCCCATCAGGAAGCCAGGCTGTGTCACTGATGTGGAGTGCCAGGGACTTCCCAACTTTATTTGCTTATGGTGTGTAACCTCCCCTGAGTGGAGCCCAGAGGGCTCTGATGACTTGGATGGGTCCAGGCCAGGGCTGAGCTGGTCCAGGCAGTCTTGGGACCAAAAGTGGGGCTGCCTTAGCTGGCCCTGGAGGTGGCTGGATCTGGGGCAAGGGGATCTAGGTCAGAGCAATGTGACCAGTTTGGATTCAGTTGTGACTGTGTCACAGAAGGGGTTCATGTCTGGTTTGATAAAATGTTCAAGTTCCAATGGTTGAAAAGTGGGAAGGTATTTGGGTTCAGGGGTCAGAAATACTGAGAGGATGTTGGAGAAGGTCAGTGGAGGAAATAGGAAGAGCCATGGAGGAGTGAACAGGAGGCAGGCTAGAAGGGAATCAGTGGGACTGGGATGTTGGGGGCAGGAGTGGGGTTTGGGGTACTTTCTTCTCTCACAATTGCCTCCTCTGCTACTTCTTTGGGCAACCCAAGGAGGTCTCCATGGATTAAGAGCTCAGTGAGTGCTGGTGCCTTGCAGCAATGCCCTGGAAACAACTGGTAGTGCTACACAAATAAAGCATGTGCTTTCCAGCATCTAGTAAGGATGTGTTTTTCAAAGTAATAATTGAAGCAAGTTTGGAGAACAAATCAGTGGAAGAGCAAATGTACAAAGGTCTGCTGAGGCTTAGCTTAGGAGCTGGAACTGCAGCCAGTTCCAGCTCCTACCTGGCTCAGAGGCTTTTCCAAGTGTCCCTGTGAGGACCAAAGCTACTGAAAGGATGAATTTATGGAGTTGGGCTGGGTCATCAGACATCGGGCTCAGAACAGGTCCTACAGATTCCTTCTTGCTCATTCAGTCTCTTTGCTCTTCTATCATCAAAACTGGCACAAGAATGCTTTATCCCTGTCCTCTTTTTACTCTCTTCAGAAGAAAGGTTAATCTTGGTAAATGCAGCTCTAATGCAGTAGACCTTTTTTTGTTGTTTAGGCTTCAAGGCATTACTAATACACTTCACTCCTTTTTTCAAGTCAAAAATGAATAGATGTTTTGTCTTCTCTGGGCAGCTAAAGCATATGTAAGAGATGTGATGACCCTCACTTAAGGCTGTCTATAGTGATTCTCTGCAACTGTGACTGTCAGGTGGATGTTTGATGGAGTGTTAGGTTTTCTAAATACATCTGAGTTCTTGCTCAGATTCCTGACAGGGCTCTGAAGACATTTTATGGAAGACTACAAATGCTGCTGAGCTCATGACTGCCTCTGAACTGTTTGAGTTGTACCTCTTTAAGTAACACAAAGGGAGTTGTATCTATTAGATCTTACCCCTGTTAATGAGTAAAGAAATGTAAACAAGGTTGTTTGGGCATTGTGGGTGACATTCACCTTTCCAACCAGCCTGTGCTGACAGTGTTACATGTGTACCCAACATAAACTAAAGATTGCAGTGGCCATGAAGAACAGCTCTACGTTGTCCCAAATATTAGTTTTTAGTGGCTGTGCTGGCAGTTTGAACATCAAGGCCACTGCAGAGAAGTAGCCAGTGGTGTACCTGAGTTAGGAAGAAAACTCCAATTTTTTATATACTTTCTCTGCAAGAATTGTCTTCATAAATCTGGGGAATTGCCAGCTAGAAAGCCAGCTTCCAAGTGCCTGAGGCATCTTGGCATCTCTAGGCAAGTCAGTGGCATAGTGCAGCTCTGGGGTATGAGATGCCACACCATAGGGGACACCTTGGGGATGATGATCATGATTGCATGATCAGCTGCTCCTCTAGGATTGACTACAGGCTTTCTGCAATTTGCAAACAGTTACAGCTGCAGTTTTCAGTGTGTGTCCCACTTTGCAGCCACCACGGCCTTTCCTCATCCCCTTTCACATTTCAAGCCTCTCCACAGCACAGTTTTTTGCCTGAATTTTATCAGCTCCTCATTGACAAGAAGACCAGCCTGTACGAGGGCTCTGAGTCTGGTCGTGTGGCAGATCCGGGGGTTCTTTACTAGCCTCTCTGCTGTACCCACCCGGCAGCAGGCAGGAGCTGTTCACCCTGCGGGATTGAGACGGGGCTGGAAGGTGGGGGGGGGATCCATGATACCCTGTCGCCCCGCTGCCCCAGGGTGTTGCTCTGCGCGGGGCCGGGGCTGGTGCAGGGCGCCGGGGCGGGTGCGGGCCAGTGGGCGGTGCGGAGCCGGGGCCGGGGAACAGGCGGATGCGGGCCGGACAGGGAGCACGGCGGGGGATGGCGGCGGCGGACCTGCAGGAGCTGCGGGCGCTGGTGGAGCGGGCAGGCGGCCGGCGGGCAGTACTGCTGGTGGCCGAGGTGGTGGAGGGGGCCCCGGGGGCGCCCGCGCTCGCCGCCTTCGCCCGCGACCTCCTGGACGACGAGGCGCCGCGCGCAGCGTGCCCGGTGCAGGTGCCGGGGCGCCGGGCGCGGCGCTCGCCGGGTGCCGGGAGCCGGGCGCTGGAAGCGCGGCTGCTGCTGGTGCTGTGCGGCGGCGGGGCGGCGCGGGACCGCGGGGCGCGTACTCGCCTGCGGGAGGTGGTGCGGGACGTGCGCGGCCGCCTGCCCGCGGGGCCGCCGCCCGCCGTCGTGGGCGTCCTGCTGCCCGGCGGGGACGGAGAGGACGCGGCGGTGCTGGACGCGGCGCTGCGGCAGCACTTCCCGGCGCCCGGCACGGTGCAGGCGGCCCGGTACAGCCCGGGCAGCCCCGGCGATTGCCGTGCCGCCGCCTGCCGCGCCCTGCGGGCTGCCCTGCAGCACCCCGCAGGTACCAGGGTCAGGGGACCCTTCCTCCCTCCCTCACCCGGGGCCCGGTTTTTACAGTGGGATTTGCTCCGATTTCCTGTGGGATCTTCCCCTTCTCAGTGGGATGTACCCCATCCTAATGGGTTCTGATCCCTCCTCATGGGATCTCCCCTACAATGGGGTCAGGCTTTTCTCATTAGGATCTAACAATTCCTGATGGGAGCTTCCTCTGACCCAATGGGATCTGGCTTTTCCCATTGGAATTGGACCGGTCACTACTGATGGGATCTTTACACACACACAATCCAATCTGCCTTTTCCCAATGCAATCTCTTTCATGCTGATGGGATCAGAGCCTTTCCAGTGGGATCTGCCTCTTTCTGGTGTGGTTCCCAGACCTGGCGGCCAGGGTGGATAAACTTCCCAGCAGTTTGGGAAACACTAGATAGCTCATGGATAACAGGGACATGGCAGCTGACAGCTGTGACATTGTGGCCATCCATGACATGGTGGCCTTCCATGCATATTGGATGTGTGGTTTGGGGGAAGCAGGACTGGGATGTGGCCTGTGCCACAGGGTGCAGGCAGAACCTGACCTTCCTGCAGGAGGAGGATGCTCGTGCTGATTTTGCATAATGAATAAGTAACAAAAGCAAGTTGTTGTTTGCATGTGAAACAATATTTCAGGGTGAGGATGGCAGGATGAAAGCTGGGTGTCAGCCAGGCCTGAGGAGCAGCATTTGCCCTGGGGTGAAAGGGGAGTTGGGTTTATGTGTCAGTGCAGGGTGATGGGCAGCTGGGCAGGCTCTGCTCTTGCAGCTGCCACATAAAACACTTTAATCTTTGGCACTGTTTGTCTTGGGCTGTTTCCCTTTCCTCCTCCCTTCGTTCATTTTTTCCCACTTTTACCTTGCTCCCCAGCATTTCCAGGGGCTTGGGTGTTTTGCTGTCTTGCTGGCTTTACCTCGAGGGATCCTGCCACTTGCCTTCAGCACCACAAGGGTTGACAGGGTCTCCTGGGATCCCTGGGACATGGGGATGATTGGCTGCAGTTCAGGTGCTTCTTTCTATCAGCTCAGCCCAGAATCCTGGATCTGAATGTTGAGGAACTTAGAGGTGGCTGGTGGCAAGTGCACAGGGCTGTCTTCTGCCACCTCTCTACTGAGGAACACAGCTCTTTCCAGCTTTTCTCCTTTCACATGCTTTTCTCTTCCTCACATTGTTCCTGCTGCAAGAATTTCTGGTGTGCTCCTGTGAATCCTCCAGTTCTGGTCACAGCAGTCTGGTGGGACAGCAGCTGCAGAGGCAGAAAAGCATCCCTGCATAGCTTTTTCTGCCTTGGCACTTTGCTGGTGCTTGGCTCAGTATATGTATTTTTGTGGCTGCCTGTGGAAAACGAGGAGCAGGAGGAGCTGGATTGGGTGTTATAGCCTGTATGTGTGTGCTCACTCACTTCTGATGCTCTGCCTGGTGCTCTGAGTCATCTAAGTGCCCCAGTGTGTGTAATGAGGACACTCATCACCTTCAGGGTTCAACCTTAGGCAGGGACAACTCCTTTCCATGCTTCTGTGAGCTTTGCCTTCCAAAATCTCCACCTGGACAGAGGGATCCCAAGTATATCTGAGCCTCCAAAGGGCGGTTGAACACTTCAGGCAGTGCACCCCAGGCAGTGCACTGGAGTTTTTTGTTTGTTGACTGCCAGAAAGACACTGAGCCCTTTAGTGTCGCAATGGCTCGATAAAGTGAAGGACACTGAAGTGGTTTATCATTTGTCATCTGATTAGGAGGTGAAAGGCTGGATGATATTTCAATGGGAATACTGAACTGCTGCTGTTGGAGACCGTATAAAATTATGCTGCTGTAATATTTTACAGGCTGCTGTAGTGTTTTACTAAAATGGTTGGAAACTCTGTAGTAACTTTGTTGTCTTCTAGAATAATTACCATACATTGACTACATGCTCTCTGCAATTTGCAAGCAGTTTCAGCTGCTGCAAGACCCCAGGTCCAGCAGGTCTCCATGGGAGGGAGGAATTGCTTAATAAAGCAGGGAGCAGTAAACAGGTTGATGTGGTAGAAGCTGTGTGACAATGCAAAAGGAAAACTTCCTTCTGTGGGAATTCTCTAACTGTGTCTGTCAGTCCCCAGCCTCACCATGTGTGCCAGCTGAGCTGCTGCCAGGTTTCTTGCTCACTCTCGGCTGCCACATCCAGGCTGGTTTTGGCAGCGAGGTGGCAAAGTACAAACTGACATCAGGGACAAATTTCCAGGGTAGCAGAGAGGTTTCAGTCAAAAATAAAGACTGCCAGGAGATGCTCTGTGCTTTCCAGTGGTGGGTTTATGGAGTGGACCTGATTTTGTTGCTAGGACCTGGTTTTGTTGCCAGGCTCATGGAGGGAGAGGTGAAGAAGCAGCAGGGCTGACCTGCTACCAGTCTTAACTCATCTTCTCTGGTTTATTCAGAAGACACGAAAGATAGGGAGAGGTGGAGGCTGCCATCCTTCCTGCAGTGCATTTCTTGGAATCAGAGGAGCTGGAGAAAAGATAACAAAGCAAAAGCTGAAAAGAAAATTCATGAAGGTATGCCCAGCTCCCTCCCTTGTGCTCTGTTGTGATTGTCAGAAGCTCCTCGTGATTCCCTGGTGGTTCTGGTGCCCAAGCCCCTTGCTGGTAGCCTCTTCCAGCTACTTCCAGCTCTGCAGTTGACCTTGCTTCCCTGGCTGTGGTTTAGCCCAAACCTGAAGACAACCAGCACATGTGTCTGCTTTGTTGCCACTTCCTTGTTTTCTGACCTTTTGCTTGTCTAAACAAAATCACGCTGAGTCTGGTGCCCAAATACATCCCTGGAAGCATTGCTGAACTCAGCTGCATTTTGTTTGAATGTCTGGAAGCAGAACTACTCTCTGTCTAATCAATGAATTGGAACCACCCTGATATTATTTGATGTTTTCTGCAAACATGGGTGGAAGGAGTGTTCCCAAAACATTTGCTTTTAGGGCTGGCAGAGAGAAGGGAGAGGGAAGTCAGCCACGGGCTCCCTGATTCTAAAGGAAATTGTTCAGGTAACACATAGCATAGCATTCAGCCTTTGTGCATGGTTGGCACTTTGGCTTGCACTTCCCAGCAGTAACTTTCTTTTTGCAGGAGGGCCTCATGCAGGAGGCTACAAGGCTTGTGCTGTGGAGATCCAGGTTGTACTATGAAGCACGAAGAGGAGGGAAAGCTCCCTCACTGCAAAAAGAAAGACTAGACTAGACTAGAATGTTTTATTTTCACTTGAAAGGGACCTACAATAATCATCTGGCCCAACTGCCTGACCACTTCAGGGCTCACCACATTTTAAAGGATGTTATTAAGGGCCTTGTCCAAATGCCTCTTAAATATACGAAATACTTAAAGAGCATAAGAGTCAGACAAAACAACTGAAATGAATCCCCAATTTATGCAGCTCTAAGACATGTGACACATATGAGGCTTGTGAGATCCACTGTCCATGGTCAGAAAATGGAAGTGCCTGATCTTGCTGTCAGTGCCAGGCAGGCAACACCCTGTGGCCATGCAACTTGTTTTGAGATTGCTCAGGCTTCAGGAGGCCAGGAGCTAGGCCCTGTGCTCCTTTGCTCTATTTGCTGAAGCAATGTTAAGTTTGTAAAACAAAATGAAAAACAGTTTTGAAAAAAAAACTCAGCTGTGCTTAGGTTGTGAGTATATATCAATTGCTTCAGCCCATGCTTTTTTTTTTCATCTTAAGCTGCATTTTCTGGGAAGAGGGGTTTTCCATTCAGGTCTGCCTTGACTTCTCTCTGCTCCCTGCAGATGACCTGCAGGACCCTGAGGAAGAAGTGGCTCTGGCCAGCCTTTCCCCCAATGGAAACTGTGAAGAAGCTGCTGGAGGCATAGGCACCTAGAGCTGCTGGGCATCCAACACCGTCCACATCCCAGACCTGCCCAATGGATTTGGAGCAATGGGAGGAGGAGCTGGTGCAGGCCCTCTCCTCCAAGGGCCCACAGCTCCAGGGAAAAGCTGCTTGGCTGAACTCATCAGGGCTTTTTTAGCTGCCACCAGCACAGAGGGTCTGTGCCAGAGAGCCATCCCCTGCTGTCCCGGGGCACTTGGAGCTGCTGCTGGACACTGGGCTTCTGAGAAACTCTTTGGGATGTACCCCACATCCTGGGCAATATGACTTTGGGACTTTGAGTGTGAAATGCAGCCACCTGTTTGAAGAATGAGAAATGTTTTCTAATTCTGGGCAAAGTTCCCTGCTGAGGTTGCTGGGGCTGGCCTCCCTGGCAGACTGATTCTGCTGCCTTGTTTTCCTACTTTATTGGTGCTTGGAATTTCCCTCCCTCTTTGTGATCAAAAACCAAACCAAACCAAAACCAAACAAAAAACAAAACCAACCTCCCCCCCAATCAAGTAACACATTGGCTTGGAGACTGCAGGGGGACTAAATGTGAGCCCTGGGATCTACCAGTTACTGAAAAGGCTTGAATGTAACAGTGTAACATGAAGAATGCACTAACAACCCAGCTTGAGTGGCAAGAGTAACACGAAGGATACTGATGGTACTGGCATCTAGATCAGAGTGGGCTTTGGGAGCAGGATCTGTCCCTCTGGCTTGTCCTGGTGCTCATAGACTGAGGGACACCTGGGTTGGAGGGGTGGCAGATGGGCACTGAGGTGTGGCTGCTGCTACGTGGGGCTACAGGAGAGGGCCATCTTACCTGGGAGATCTCCACAGGCATGGTGGCACACCTTGGAGGTGGCCTGCAGCACAACAAGAGGTGTCTGTTTCATAAATAAACATAAAAATATAAAAAATTATCTGTTTAAGTAGTTCCAAAGGGTTGCCTGTAGCCAGTGGGGCAACACAACTGACTAGAAATCCTTGGTTTACAAGGAATATTACTCTAATGCTAAGAATATCTTTTAAATTTCTTCCTATTCAGTAGCATCAAGGAGAAACGAAAGCTGCCGAGGTCTGGGCACTTCGGTCTCTTGTGTAGCATCGCTGCTCCTGAGCTGGACTTTCCCTGCTGCCAATCCACCAGCCTGAGTACCCCATCTGTCTTGTGCCGCAGAGGCGGCCGGCATGTGTTAAACCCATGGGATAAAATCGCTGACCCTTGCACTGCCCTGGGACACGCTGTGCCCCTCACGATGCCCGCCCACTGCGGGCGGCCTGTGCCGGCGGGGGAAGCAGCCGCTGCTCTGGCACGGCACAAACGCGGGCACCGGCGGGGTCACTCGTGGGGAGCTCACAGCTCTCGCGCAGGCACCGGTGTGGGGTCTGCAGGCGCGGGAGCCCGTGGGGGCTGTGAGGGAGCCCCGGGAGGTCGCGGTGGTCTCCCCGGAGGTCGCGGGGGGAGCCGGCATGTCCGTGAGGGGCGGCGTGCGGCACAAGGCCCCCGGCGGCAGGGCTGCCCCGCTCCTGCCTGCCTGGTTCTCCGCCGTCCCGCGCAGGCGATCACACGGGCATCTCTGCCGGCGCAGCGCGGAGCCGCCGGAAGAGGCCCTTGGCTGCACTTCCGGGCCGGGCAGCGGCGGCGGTGACGGAACTGCGGTTGGGCCGGACCGGACCCGACCCGACCCCCCCCCGGACCCTTCGGACCTCCCCGACCCCCCTTCCGAGGGCAGCCGGGCGGCACCATGATCACCTCGGCCGGTGAGGCAGCGGCGCGGGACGGCGTTGTCCGCCGGGGTTTCGCTGAGTCAGGGCCGTGACTGAGCACCGCCGCGGCTCCGCGGGGCCGCCCGTCCCGGGGCTTCCCCACCGTGAACACCCCCGGACGGCAGACAGAGCCCACCCGGTGCCCGGCGGTCCGGCACGACCGGCTCCTGAAGCCCGGTGCCGTGTCCGTCTCCCGCCGGTGTCTCACGGGGGCTCCGGTGGCGGCGCGGGGGTCCCGCGGTGGGAGCGGGCGGGTTCCGCTGCTTGGAACTGCTTGAACGGCGCAGTTTGGGTGTGAAACCGGAGGACACTCGGGAGGTGCAGCAGGGACTTGAGAGGGGCAGGAGGGAGTTTGGAGTTCAGAAGCGCAAATGCCTTGCACAGGAAACGTCGGTCTGAGGAGTGCGGGATAATGAAGCGTGTGAGGAGTTGGATGTTACGCGGTGTTTGTCCGTCTGCTGAGAATTGATAGTGTAAAAAAACATGGGAAGTATTCCCAGAAATACGCAGGCCAGAAATTAACATGTGGCTGGTTGTGGCTTGGCGAGAGAAACCGTGCAGAGGGTGACAGTGTCCAGGGAGCTTTCTCTTCCTGAACCCTTTGCTTTGTTGAAGTCTTTATTTCAATTGAGGAAAAGTAGGAATTAATTTTAGAGGCATTTAAAAAGTGTAAAAACGGTATGTTGGAAGCGAGGTATGTAGGTGGTGTGTAGGAGTGAGATTGTGTTTTCCTGACAGATCAGGTAAATGCAGGGAAATGATGATGATGATGATAATAATAATAATAATAATAATAATAATAATAATAATAATAATAATAATAATAATAATAATATCCCAGAGCAAACATTTGGTGCAGAGATGCAGGAAACCGCTGGGAGGAGCTGGAAGTGGGATGGCTGCTAAATCAGCCTTCTTTGCCTAAGAGCCACATTGATGTTCCTTCAATTCCTGTTACTGATGGATGTGTCTAACCTGGTCTTTAAGAACAATACCTGATAATGGAGAATCTGAAACTTTATGAGGCAAAAGAATAAATGGGTTCTTGTGAGAAAACTTTTGAGATCATCAGACCTCATTCTTTGAGGCTTCACTAAAGTTTGGTGTTACTCTTCCTGTTAATATCTGACATGAAGATCAGATTATTCCCTTCCTGCTGGCAGCTGCCCTGAAGGCTGCACCCTTCCCAGGTGTCTTGGAGGAACCAGAGAGAAGCCTCCAGCCTCCCTTGAGGAGCTGCCTGCCAGAGTTCCTGTTCTCAGCACCCTGGTTTGCTCCTGACTCAAACGTGGTGCCCAGCCCTGGCATGGGCTCTGGCCAGTGGGTGCCAAGGGAAGGGAAGGTGCCTCATGGATCTGCCAAGCACTGCTCTCACTCACACATCTGTGTGAGGTTTGGGTTCTCTGCCTCCCACTGCAGCCAAATGATATTATTGATCATATTTTATCTTAAGCCTCTGTACTGTTCAGATTCTATATTTGTACATTTTGGTTTGGACCTGCACATGCTCCTTTTAGATTTGTCAAGATCTTTTGGAAACCCATTTCAGTCCTCCAGAGGCTTGCTGGCCTTTCCAGTTTCATGTGTTTTTTCAGATTTAAAGAAGCTGTCCAACTGTACAAGAGATTGAAGACTTAAATCAGTGAATTGTGTTGGACTTTGATCAGATCATATTCCAACCCTTTCTGTTGCATCTTTGCAGTCTGGCAATGAAACCACCTATCCCTGTTCTTCAGATTAGCCCCTGTGAACCTCTCAGTCATGTCAGTTAAACAGTATTTCTGTAACTGTACAAAAGTTCTGGGACAGGATCAGCAGTCAAAAGCATAAAGCTTTGAGGTTCATCTCCTCTCATCCATGAGGCCAGTTTCCTTGGCATGGAAAAATTCTTTGTTTTCCCCTAGGAAGGATCACCTTTTATAAATAATGTACATTTTCACTTATAAATTCTGAGCTATTTTATGTTATATTTAATACAAACTTGAATCTGATCTTTGAAGTTTTATACTGGAGATTTAAAATCAGTATTCCAGAGACAGCTTTCTTTCCTATTCTGTTGGTTTTGAACTAAATGACAGGCTTACTTCTGATACAGAGAAACCAAAAGTAACTATGATTTTGTTTTGCAGCTGGAATTATCTCTCTTCTGGATGAAGAAGAGCCACAGCTCAAGGTAAGCTCTTACATCTGAGAGCAAATAACAGCAAATGGACTATGTGGAGAGCTTAAAATCAAAAAGGAGCAGATCTCAGTAATTTATGGTTGGACAGCAGCAGGTGGGCATCAGATTGTATCTATCCTGAAAAAGAAAGGGCTTAAATAAATGATAACAGATTGAAAACTTCCTTGTTTTAAGCAAATGCAAAAAAAATCTCTATTCGTGAAAGCTCCCTTCTCTCTGGTGGTAACGGAGCTTTGTTGCTTGAAATTGTTCCAGAGGCTGCATTTTGACTATGTAAAATTCAAAGCTGAAGAGCAGCTCAGGTTTTTAGAATAATTTAATCCATGTAGAACAAAATCACAGTTACAGTTTTCACTTGGAAAAAAAAATCACAGTAATAGTACAACAAGAAGAAAACAGCAACAGAAATTTTCCAGGGCACAGAGGGTATGAATCCACAGAACACCAACACTCAGAGTGTTGGTGTGTTATGGCACTTATCAATATTTGTAATTCCCTAATTGTTTTTCTTGGATACAGGCATAGGTAGTTATGGATCTGAATGATCCCTGATTTTGCTGTGAGCTGATTATAAGTGGGCTGATTGTGGTTTGTTTATCATCTGAAGTACTGTGTCCATATAGATAAATAGAGTTGGCTGCTGTAGGCCACAGGTTGATTCCATGTGCTGCACAAAGGTTGTCACAATTTTGTCTGTCAGACACATCAGCCAGTCATTCATCAGAGAGAGGCCATGGAAAGGAATGCTAGAGTTCTCTTACCTGTAAAGTGAGCAGCTCTTTATTTGCAAAGGACTTGCAAAGAGTAGTGAATGCTTGCAAAGATCTTTTAAAATAGAATTTGCTGTTGAAATGGGTCAGTGTTCATGATATTTATGCTAGAATGTACTTCATTTTTCTGGGGAATGGTAGTAAATGCATTTTTAATATAATATAACTTTACTTTTTTTTTTTTTAGGAGTTTGCTCTTCACAAGTTGAATGCTGTTGTCAATGACTTCTGGGCAGAAATCTCTGAGTCAGTGGATAAAATGTAAGAGAAGACACTTAAGACTG